TGGATTTATTCATTTTTAACGTCGATTTCATTTGTTAAATTCACAGGTCTATAATGCAGAATGATAGGATACACTGGGCATGATCTGCCATAATTTACATTGGCATTGCCTGGGAGAGACGGAAGAAATCACGAAACACTTTAATTAATATAACCGCTCTATGAGCCAAAACATAAACATGGTACCTCCGGGCGACGAAACAGGAGTGGAATTTTTAGAAGTGCTAAACTTTTATTAGTGATGAAATGAAAGCACTGAAAACTGAAACACAAAATATCAGGTGACAGCGGTCGCCCCTTGCCATATAAAACACTTGGGTTTCTTTGTTGAAACTTTATTACACCTCTAAATAGCTGGACTATTGACCTTAAATGATCAATCAGTGCCCCGCCCTGTTGTTTTTAGCCCATATGAAATACAACAACCTTGGGCGTTTGGGTGGGAGGACTTAACAAAGCAGTCTTACCGAGGGTCATACTCGAGTTAAATCAGTTTTGCAGTGTTATAAGTATTTTCATGAGACAATAAATTTTCTGGTACTGTGATTTTATTCAAGACACACTTCAACATATTAGTTTCAAACTTCACAAAATGTTTTTCCTATCCAGTTCAAATAATTAAATTGTGTATAAATAAACTATGTCTATTCTTCTCCTATCACGAATTATACCGCCTTCACTTCTCCGATCTAATATTAACTATGAGAGAATGGATGAAGCTGTATGTGGCAGGACCTCTTGGATGAAGGATGACAAAACATAAGACGCCTGCCTTCACCTGACAACAAGAGAAACGTGCATGTCCAAAACCGGTTGGCCTATTTAAGTTGCAGACCCATTTTGATATATTATTATTATTTAGTGTTCTGTCTGACGACAGGTTCATTATTCTGCCCAAAAAGAGTTCGCCAGTTTTCCCTATTCTCAGCTTCTCGTTTTAAATCCTGAAACTTGATGTATGCGTATGTTTTGCTACTCTTGAGCCACTAAATAAGAGCGGAGAAAGTGTAAACCTGCAACATCATTTCGATTTGTCCCTGTCTATCTCAAACTTCACCTTTCATCCTCACTATTTCCAGACGAATAAACTGAGTAAGTCCCAAAAAGAATTACAAAGAGAAAATGGGGATCGTATGTCAGTTACAGGAGGTAAGAAGACCCTTCGACACAAACAGTCATTTAGGTTTCTCAAAACATCTAGTTAACAACATATGAGAGGTTTTGCTAGTACGGATGTACAGTTGTCTCTTGTCTAAAATGCTTCTGCAACCGAATCAATGGTCACGAGATCAGTTCTCCAGAGATTTTCAAATGTTTGTCATCACAACCTCACAAATGTCGTACGCATATTCTTGATACTACAAAAAAAATCTTGTTTATACAAAAGTATAAATCTATTACTTAAACAAAACTTTCATATCTGAAAAACGTTAAATTCTACACACCGAATTTTGTACTTTCTAATTTATTTAAATCCAAATCTTGCACTTCCTTTTCCAGTCACATACAACCTTAACAAATCACTCGTTTTTAAACTAACTGATATATCGCTCAGTGGAAGGAATTACGTTACATAATTACAAAACTGCATAAGCATGTACTCAGCTGTCGTCCTCTGGGCTGTCACGCTATATAATCCTGTAGGTGGTTATCGACGTTTCGAAGGAACGTATCGTCTCCACAGCCCTGAAGACTCAAGCGATACATTCCTCCGAAACGTTACGATCCACCAAAAGATCACAATCGCCATGTCATATAAACATTCAATATATTTCGTGGAACATCTAAAAGGTTTCAATCAACCAGCGGTGATACACGTGTCACAGTTTGAAAACGTCTGTTCTAGGTAACATTTAAATTTCTGTACTACTTCACGTTTTTGCATTCAGTGTTGAATAATTCTGTTCGATGTGCCTTAAAGCATTTGCACATAGAGAAGATAAGTGATCCACGGAAGCAAACTGAACAACAGCACAAACTGCGGAGGCAGAACCGCCTTGAACTTTACTGACTGGTCCTTGAGAATTTTCCCCGCGCTGTATTCAAAGTTATTACGAACATGTAATATTTTCATTGGGTCATGTTCATGTACGAAAGATAATTAGAAAACAGCTTGGCATCCTGATACCAGCCTCTGAATCTTCTGCTTATTCAAGGACAAGCCGCTATGATAAGGAACTGTAGCAGAAAAAACTTTGCAACTGTGAAGACAGGAGTGCAAAGAGAGGGCCACACCCCATGGCAGGAGCTTCTTCCCACAACAACAGGACCTGGACGATCGAGGTGGGGAGACGGAATGTTCAGAACCGAACAAGCAAATTATTCCTGAACTTGTCAAGGTTAACCCCACCCAGGGTTTTCGGAGTGGTATAAATACCTGTGTGATCCCTTGTTTAAGTATCAGAAGCTTATTAGCAGTCTCTAGCAGCTACAAAGTCGCTAAGTCTCAACTCAGACAACATGAAGGCCTTTGTAAGTATATGCAACATTTGCTTTCAAACTAAGAATATTTTCATACAGAAATTAAGAAGTTTGAACCTTCACAAATGCCTATTTTATTAGTTAACAAGTCTGTTTGTTATTTTGTCCAGTGGTTTTATCTGTTTGTGTCCTATTATAATAATAACACTTATACAGCTAAAACTGCATAATCCGTGTAAGAATTGGTCATATTTGCCTATCTTAGGCGCTATCTATGTCAAAACTGAAGTTGTAAAATTATATGTTTCATTTAAATGACTTTAAAACATAATATTTATATTACATTAGCATTCCACAGTTTCGTTGTGCTCAATGGCTTCAAGAGAGTTTCAATTTACCTAGCACTAGTACGTAAACTTGTAATACAATTTTTAACTTTTTTGAGTTGCAAACATTTTGTGTGAGCTCTAAAAACGATATCAATTTGAACAAACACAGAATAGTTCTCAGCTGAAAGTCTGCTTCTCTGTACTCATTTCAGACACCAAATACATTACAAAAATAACAAAATATCTTTCCTTTTCTACCCGAGTTAACATAAAAGACGATAAGTTTGTCGTCAAATTACAGGAAATTAAACACGTTCTTTAAAATTAGTCCGTGTAAAATATGACTTCAGCCAAAGTAATTAAGAAAATCTGGTCTAAACATAACTCATTAGCATACATAACGTACTTACTGCGCTACCTACATAACATTATATCTAAACATATGTGACACATAGCCTAGGCGAAATGAACTGTCGCAAGGCAAACTTCTATTAGTGTAACAAATTAACGAGATTCTAATTCTTCGTATTAGTAAGTAATAAGACGATTATCTCAAAAGATTAAATAAGATATCCACATATTCAAAAACACATTCGTACCTGAAAGCGAGACAAAACATGAAGCAAAAGCAACTTGATTACGTAAATCACTTGTCTTCTCCTACCTTTGCAGTAACAAACCGGAAATAAGCCGAGATCTGAAAACAGGAAAACAGGAGCGTTAATTTTATTATCCTTCAAAGATATTTAACTCCTCTTACTTGAAACAAGAGATGGTGTCAGTCTCATAACGAATTCCTGAAAGTAACAGAGTACTCTATAATTTACGAGTGTGTGCAGCTAATAGGCTTCCGTACATTTTACACTAGATGATTTAAATAATATTACAGTCGTTTGGGTCCATCAAAGTGTCGATCAGGAGTGCTTTGCATTTCTCCACAGAATATGGCACTCCTGGTACATTTCAATTTTTGAATTTGTAACAAGCACAAATTTACGTATGAAGTTACAATGAATTATCATTTACCACAATCACAACAAAATACTTCTCGCAGCAGAAATTCCATTAGTTTAAATTTTCATAAAACAATAAATTACAATAAAATTTGTATAGACTCTCTTCAAACATCTCACCATATTAATATTGAGATTCAGCACATTTGATCAATCAGTGTCGATTCTTCACTGATTCTTAATTTACTTCATATAAAATATCGATAAAAATCAGAACAGTCATAAATGATGGATTGGTATAAATGTGCAATGAAGCGATCATTGGTTATTTTAAGGCATTATTCCATTATTTTCACAAAGGGACCAGAACCAGAAAAAGAACATCAGTCATTTTAATTAAAATAATTATTATATCTCATCAGTCATTTTGTCGACAGTTGAATCAAGAATATTCTAAACCCGAATCTCTCGTTGGAAGCAACAGAACTAACCACGCAATCACCTCGATCGGTTGCTTATTATATGTTTAAGTTAAATTAGCAGCCAGACAGACGAACGGTGGATATAAACATAATATTCCAAAGAAAGAATACCGCTCGTTTGGAGCCTCAACAACAGACAAAAGGAACTTGGATGACATCTTGTGTCTACTGTTTCAGTTCGCCCTTTTCCTCGCCCTGTTTGTCGTCGTGGCCGCCGTCTCCGCCGCCGAACCTGAGGCCAAGAAGGACTTGAAGGGAGCCGAGCAGTTTTACTACGCCGCGCCCTACGCAGCCCTCGGCGGCTATCCCTACGGTTATGCCGCATACCCTGCCGCATACTACTACCGCTGATCGCCATAGCCCGCTTTAACGGAAGACATCTGGATGACGACACTGCCCATCTGATTGTTCAACTGACGGACTTTTTAACCGCGGTCCGTTTCTTCAACAATTGGAAACGATAACTTGAAAGCGTCAACTCCTAAAGTACTGGGAAGATACCGTTAAAAAAGCGGTAGAAGATACGTCAAAATTTAAGCAATAATTCTATTTGTTTCTATTTCTCTGTCTATGTTTCCTTGTGGCATTTATATTACTATGCGGTTTCGTAAGTAAATGTTATAAAAAGGATACTTCTTGTGTTTTCAGATTCAACCCCTTTATCCAGACATTATTCCTATCATCATTCACTCCATGGTGCAAAAAATTTGTTGAAAAGTAAACTGTATACTCGGTTTGTCAAAGAATAACCCACTTTCTTTATGGAACCTTAGGTTCATCACCGTGTCCACAAAAACCCACCACCGGACTCTACCCTGAGCCAACTGCATCCAGTTCCCTCCATCGATTTCAGTCTCCCTAAGGTCCATCTTAATGTTATCCTCCCACATACAATGGTCTCCTCCCTTCAGGCCTATCAGCCAATACCTTGTAAACACCCTCGCCGATGAGTTCCTCATGTCCTAACCACCTCATCCTCCTCGATTTAATCACCCTAACAACATCATTAGCTAACATGTCACTTGTTCATCAAGTAAAAGTAACACTGGAGAAAGTAGTCAGGCCTGTATTATGACGTCAGTGATGATTATGATAAGGACAATAATTCGATCCAGTTCAGTTACTTGAATGTTTGCAAACAACAAAGAGCCTATGGCAGGTAAAAACTAGTAATATATATTAAAATAATATTAAACTTAAATAAACAATCAAACCAGAAACTTGCCTCAAAGGAGATATTTTTCTGACAAAAATGTCACTTGCGGCGAGACAACAACAATTCTAAACACAAGTTATATCATATAGAAATTATATGTAACCCACTTTCTTAAAAAAAACATAAAACATGTAGTCTGATCACAAATATGCAACACCGCAACACCCATCATATGATATATACCAGTATCACACAGAGACCATAGTTTTTTAGCCTGAAAATCACAGTTTAGTTATTGAAGAGTAAGGTTCCACTATGGTGCATGATAAAATATGAATACGATGTAACATTGTCAAGTCCTGTATTTATATGCAGATTTCATATATTACAAGGCTCAATTTTGATATGAGAGTAATGTTTCAATATATCCAACTGCACAATGGCTGCAACACACACCACCTTCATCCTAAATCACATTTAAAAACAAGCCTAAATCCTTTCAATATTACAGAAATAATTTTTTGGAATATGGCCTACACTTTTCACAAGATACACAATGACCTTCCTTCAACACATAAATAACCTATCAGAATTCTTAAAATTTTGTGATGAAACACATGTCATAATTTCTAGTAAACACTTTGATTTCTGAGATTTCTGTTCAACACTGATCAGTTCTCTCTCATATGAGTAAATGGTTAATTGCAAACAAGCTATTCCTAAATTTAGACAAAACAATAATAAAATTTATAACAAATAATTGACCACAATTTGTTTTCAGTATTGGCTATAATGGCAAGTATATAGAACAGTCAGTAAATAGGAAATTCCTAGATTTTCAAATTGATAACCACCTAAATTTGACAAATCACTGTTATGCAGTTAGATCTATGTTGCATGTCAGTAAAACTGACACACTCAAATAATTTTATTTTGCCTATTTTCACTCCATTATGAAGAGTGGAATAATTTTAAGGATAATTCATCTAACAACAAAAACATACTTCGCAAAACAAATTTGTAAAAATTAATGGCTGGTGTCAAACCTAGAAATTCATGTAGAAGTCTATTTAAGAGATCAACTATTTTAGATCTTCCATGTGTAAACATATTCTCGTTATTGAACTTCACTTTAAATAGCTAAGAATATTTTCAAACTATTACTACTTACGCAGTGTTAACAAAAGTAGCTGCTCTGGCCAACTTCTCATGTTTTCTGAAGAATGCATATTATGCACTTATAAAAATTTTCAAGTCTACCATCTAGTCTCACAAGTCTTACAAATAAAAAATGCACAATTTAAAGTAGCAGCAAAAGATAATTAATTACTTCTAATACTCTGTTGATAAATTTCTAATGTTTATTATGGTTTTCTTGTCATTGTATATCGTAAATGGGCAGTGTAATTTATATTCTGTATAATAGTATGGGATACACGGAATGTAATTAATTATATATATATATATATATATTTATATATACGTACAAGTGCACTTATAGCACTGATGCTCTTAAATATTTATTTACTTATTTATAGTTTATTTAACGACGTTTTTCAGAAGCTCAGACTATACAGCATCGACTAACAGTCTACCATCTAGTCTCACAAGTCTTACAAATAAAAAATGCACAATTTAAAGTAGCAGCAAAAGATAATTAATTACTTCTAATACTCTGTTGATAAATTTCTAATGTTTATTATGGTTTTCTTGTCATTGTATATCGTAAATGGGCAGTGTAATTTATATTCTGTATAATAGTATGGGATACACGGAATGTAATTAATTATATATATATATATATATATTTATATATACGTACAAGTGCACTTATAGCACTGATGCTCTTAAATATTTATTTACTTATTTATAGTTTATTTAACGACGTTTTTCAGAAGCTCAGACTATACAGCATCGACTAACAGGATAATAGTGAATAATGAATTGGAAATGATGTGGAAGGAAGCGATCGTGATATCTTACTGTCTGCGCAACCTAATGAAGATGTCACCCATTGCTTGGTTCACTCAAGTAAAGTTTCCTGAACCCTACCTTCTATTACAAGGAAGACTATGTCCCGGTTTCTTCTTCTAACCCGACGAAAATTAAGTCGCACCGCCCTACATAGCCGTGGCTAATTAGATTGATGAACAGACGCAAGAGGGAAACACCGTGCAAGGGTCGTGTTACATACGTTGGAAGTCATCATTTTCTGAAGGTTAACCGGTATTTGTACTTACATTTGTTGAAAGATCAAGGTAACAGATTATCCAGCAACATAAAATAATGACACAATCACAAGTAAGAAGTCTAATTCACTTAAAATAAAACAATGAACGATCCACCTCAGAAAGGGCGCGCACTACGATGTAGTGGTTGACATCTAAAAATTATACTAACGTCGTGCCAACATTCAATCACTGAAAGAAATATGTTATCGATGAATACGAAAATTGCTGTCTTCTGGATTCTAACAGTCTGCACGACATAAGAGCTCAGAGGTCAGCCACATTCAGAAATATATGTTACATTACAAATCTATGAAACTGGCGTGATGTTTTCAACCTCAATTTATCATCCGTCGAGATGAGAAATATAGGGAATTTTCCTTACTGCTCACAGTGATTATCGGAAAGCAATTCCCTTCCATGAACGTATTAAACACGAGAAAAATCCCGAAATGATTTAAGTAAAACATCCCACTAAATTTCAAAATTCTCCATTCTGATCTTATTTAAATATTAGATTCCTATTTCACGACATTCCAGTGGCCATTAGAATTACTGTAGGTTCGAAAATTATAGAATGGAAGCTCTTGAAATATCCTTCCGTAATTAATCCATCTCGAGTTTTTTAACGACAATGTTTCAGCTAACTAGCGGCGAATGAAATGGGTAGATAATTATGAATAGTGAAAATGTAAGCATTTTGAAGGAGGTGATAGCAACCAATTTCAAGGTCGAAGACGGTTATATTCAGAGAAGTTGCACCGTGTAGTCTGGTAACTACTGACCGACGTTTCAGAAGAATTCGAGAATACAACCATTTTAACACTCGTCGTAAGAACCAAAAATCTCACCATTTCAAAGTCCCAACTCAGCATTCGACTGAAATACAGAATGGGCAGAGCATGAGACGAGACATGAATGTAAAATTTTGTACAGAATACCTCATGGGAAGATACTATTTTGGCAACCAAAGAGGATATGGTGGGAAGGTGTCGATGGGGTTCAGGACAGGGACCGCAGAAATCTTACGAAAACAGTACTCAACCTTCCAAAAGGAGAGTGGAGGGATTTATTGAGTAGCTGAACCACTATATCTTCCCAAGAACGTTTCTGGCCCACCATTAGCTATAGACTGCAACACATTAAAATACATTTTAAATTAAAGTTTTAATGAGACATATTTTTGCCATGCGTTAATTTTATGCGCTAAGCCGGTTTTGAGGTACTTAATAAAGTTCAGTTTGGGTCGCCGTCCTTAGTAATACCATAAATTGAAAATTTCAACACGTAACGCTACGTGTAACTGAAGGAGAAAGGCATTGTCGGTTCCAATTTACAACCATTAAGTAAAAATGCAGAACTCCTGATGTTTTTGCCAAAGAGACGGTTTTATGTGAGTTTCAGGCAACCTGCGACAATGAAAGTTGTACGAATATTTCACGCCTGAAAATTACGGAGTGTATAAGCAATATATGTCTGGATTTGAAATATATATTCGTATTTGCCATATTTATAATAGGGATAAATGTTCGTTGCCAAACAATAAACATGTTTCATATTGTAACATGAAAAACTGCCATTTCAACAGCCTGAATACAATTCTTTTAAAATGACTCATGGGTTCCCAGTCTGCGCCATTTATTTTGCGTTTTACATCCGTTATAAGTTTAAAACACGTTTTGAATCAAATGTTCTTACAAACATGATGATTTCTATCACAAAACTGGAATATAAAAGAAAATTATTATGACACTGTATAGGCTAACTTTCATACACATCCATTTATTATGTCAACTTTTCTGCTTCTTAAGCCAAAATCAATAATGTCTTCCGTTTTATTTTCCGTTTATTTGTTATTCATTAATCACACTTACTGACGTTGAAGGACATCATTTCATGTGGGAAACATACTGGAAAGACTGCATGGAAATTTGATTAATGGATTGTTTCTTTGGCTTCAATCCCGAAGACGTGGCAGCATGTCCCTCGGAAACGTTGGTATACAACCATAAAACCACACAACCAAACACTAAAATTCTTCTACCTTGAATCCTATACAGATTTAACTGCGTATTTAATTGTGTTTGGGGAGTTTTGCTACGGGCTGGTTACCCGCACACGAAAAAAAAAATCTCCATAGCTTAACAAATCAGGCGTCGAATTATAAATTTCAGGACCCAGAAACAATATTTTGCATCGAAATAATATTCCCAAAATGTATTTTAAAAAGTGCTGCAATTTTCAGAAAATCTGTTAAACATGTTTATACCTCAATTTTAGTGCTGCATAAAATGACATTTTCCAGTACCTAAAAGACCCTCGTGACTAGACTGCATTTTTTCATGCCATAGGTTGATAAAAGTATTCTTTCCGAAAGACCTGATAATTAACCAAAATTTAATCCTCTCAAGCTGAATTTTTCTTAATATTATTTAAGAATCCAGTCAATACCTCAAAGAAAATAAAGCACTTCTCTGTTTGTTAAAAAAGGTGACAACTACGCTTTAAAGAGTTATATGCAAAACATATCAGCCTAAATATCTGACACACTGTTTTTGTTAGACAGTCAGCAGTTATTCACCTATTTAAAACAATATCTCATGTATTCACACAAAATGTATATTGTTGTTACCACGTTCCTGAATACAAATCCTGCATATGGACACATTGACATTTGGAATGTCCTATCATAACTTTCTACTAGGTACCTGCTTCCTTCAGATTGTATATCTAGAGTCACTCTATTTATCACGCGAGATGTGGGCCTCTCTCGCAATCTCTGATTTAGTTCTCCGTAGTAACTATTTTATCATTTCACAGAGACAAAGAATGGATGAACCAATACAGATATGGGTAGGAGGTTTGATGGCATATGTGATGTAGGTGAAACAACTTCTGTGCAAGTCAGTATCTATGCAATTCTGTTTTCAGAATAACTGTCAAGGCTATATTAAACCCAGACTTCTACGAGGGTATAAATATCATCCAGAAACTTATTTCAACATCAGACACATCTTAGTCGCTCTCAGCGGTTCACATCAAGACGCAGCATACTCTCCTCACATCGATATGAAGGCCTTTGTAAGTATACAAAGAACTACCATTCTGAGATCAAAGTTAGTATTTTACATCACTAAACAACTGAAATTTTGGACTGTAAATTGTTCAAAACAATTTTGGTTAAGTGCAAATATTTAATAAACTCAGTATAGTACCTGACAATTGTCATCTCAAAAACACACAACATAAAGCAATTAATATGCCTGAGTGACTGGCTACAGGATAGATGGAATGGGAAATTCTCTTTGCACTACATTTGTACCAGCACTGGATCTACTCAGCCCTCCACGTATTTCCATCCAGTATTTAGGTTTAGAACACATCCATGCACTCTATATGCCTTCATAATATGGTGGTTAGACACAGGGGCTTCATATTTACTGTAATCTGTTATCTGAAGAAGGTATGCAGAACTTAAGATATTTTGTATAAGTCAATTTTTTATCCATACATCTCTAGTACTCAGCATGCATTGAAAACTACATAGTATAATTGCCTACCTTTGTATAAAATTTTAGATTATATAGTCCTATCTAAATGAAGATTAAAACAAAGCTACAGAATTTAATAAATACAAATTTAATCAAAATGCACTTATACTGCCAATAAGTGTTCTCTGCACTCAATATTTCTTATGATTCAAAATCACTTACAAAAACATGTAGACCAACAGTACATTACACCTTTGCCTCATTAACAAAATTAATTTATGTAATTATATGAAGTATTATCTTTAAGAGACCAACCTGACAAGAGAAAAGTCAATACCTTGTAGTACATAACAAATGATTTTGAAATTCATTAAACGATTTAAAAGTACATGAACACAGACCAAGCAAAGGATGATCATGGCCATTTCAAAGGAATTCTTCATTTCACTTATAGCCTTCACTGAGCACATGAAGACAAGATACAATTGCAGCTCATTCTTCACCAAACATTTAGAAGGAAACATACAAACTGGTATTAATATATTAAATATTTTTCTTCATGGTACATACAGCAACCAGTTTTTCAATATTCTCTCTCATATTTTAAAGTTTAATCCAATATCTGCCGCAAGTGAAATGTTTCCATTGAATCCCTGGGTGCCTTTTACACAACTCAGTTTGGAAATCATTCCTGTAGCTAACAATATTTTTATACTGAATGCAATTAATAAATCTGTTTACATGTTTCATGGGAGCTTGTAATTTTAATTTACAAAAATCACAAGTGTAAAGAGATAGTAACAGAATTTTTTGTTCCAAACATAAACAAAATTCAAAGCAAAAATAGTCAAAGACTAGGGAAACCTCCGAAAGGAGGCGGCGATGACTCACTACTGGGTTAAGCTACTAATAGATAGATACATAGAGCAAAAATAGCCAGAATTTATTAGCGAGAAATATTGTTCATGCAAAGGGTTATATCTGACTTTTGTCTCCTCCAGATTGCTGTTATCTTCACCATCTTGGCTATGGTTATTGTCTCGGCCCAAGAAGCCAAAAAGGAAAATCTCCACAGCTCTGAAGCTATCTACTTTGGCTCTCCCTATGGTGCCTATGGCACTTATGGTGCCTACCCATACGTCTCTGCTGCCGGTTACCCCGCTGTGGCTCCTGCTTATCCTCCTGTGGCAAATGGATATTCTGCTGCTTATCCTTTCTACCGTTAAAAAGCACTTCAGAAGAACTGAGCACCTTTATGATGACACTGCTAAGACACTCAAACACATCATTAATCTACTGATGTTATGAGAATTGGTAACAAATTCTCAACAACTAATTACTGATAGAAATAAACTTACAATTTAAACTGCTTCTGCACTTCACTGTATCACTTATAATTCTATATAATTAAATGCTCTAAATAATTACACTTGTTATAGTAATTTTATCCTGATATTTATTTCTTCCAAAATCCAGATGATTACCAGATATGCTAACCAGTTGTCTATGATGTTCAGTGAGTAATAAAAATGTTAGCAATTGTTTATTTATATTTATTTAGACACACCATGCCAAGAATATTTTCTTCATTTACTGCAAGTTTTACATCATTTTGAACATATTTTATTCTTAAAATTATATTTGTAATACAAAATAATTTTCCTTCAACTGAAGTGATTTAAAAAAATAATCAATACCCAAAGACCGTAGACCTCTGTATTAACACTTTAAAGCCCAGTGGTAACTATATGTACCAACTGCTTTAACAATCAATAACTTTGCACTCTGTACATTCATATTTCACATGATTTGCACTGGTAAATAGCAAATATTTCCTCAAACAGCTCCAACAAGTTTATATTTGTAATGATGAACTATTTTCTTTGAGCTGTGGACTAAATTCTTAAATGTTATTTAGATGAAGTTTGGTTTCAAAGCATTAAAAACTTATAAACTTAACTTTAAAATGGTTCATAGCATTGTTCTCTATGACAATCTGGTCTGCAAAGTCAAAGCCTTTGGGAGAAGCAGTTGAGACTTTAATTGTCTCCATAAATTGAAACCAACAAAAAACAAAAAGCAATACTGGCATATGGAACATCCTAAAAGCTACAAGAGTCAGCTCTCCAGTTTGAAGACTATCAAAAGCTCCTAAATCAAATGAGAGTTTGTGATGAGTATCACAGGTCATTTAATGGGTTTTAACTGCAGTGGTTATTTACTGCTTAAAATTCAAAGGTATAGAATGTGTCTTCCATGTTTGTTCTTTCCACTATAACTGACTATTGTGCCATTCACAAAGTAAAGTGTGTCCCTCTTAACATGGAACCTACCATGAGAGCGAGCCACCAAAGCAGCAGGTGAACCACAAGAAAATGAGTCAATCACAATATAAAACACAGCCACTGCATGCAAGCAGGTGGATTCCAAGCTACATGGGACTCTGTATTATGAAGTTCACAAAGAAAAGCCATTCATCCGTAAAGTCAGTCAGTCTCTGAGAAGGAGGAAGAGCAGGCACAAAAATCAGACAGGACTGCTGTCAATAAGTATGCAATTATCATATATTATCACCTGGCACTGCCATACATCATCTTGTACACCAAGGCTGAAGAAAAAAATGAGCAGCAGGCCAGCTTCAAGGCCACCATCTTGGTTATTTGTTTCACAACAGGTGGCTTGATAATCAATGGACGTGCCTACCCGGATATAATGGGAGGATCAAAGACTGGTGAGAAATATGTCAATTAAAACACTCGCAAAAACCAGTGCACACACATGAAACAGGTTTAAACAATGACATTAATACATCAACCACTGGAGTACTACATTAAAAAATTATAATACACACTGTAATAGCATTTTTGTTAGACTCGTTAAGGGGGAAACCACACACCCACAGATTCTTAAAAATAAGAATTCATTTATATCTGCCAATGCTTGACCTCAAGAAAACAATTAATGACCACAGAAAATACCCAAACACAAAGTTCAATGATACAAATTTCAATTTACATGACACAAACCATGAGAAAATCTTGAAAAACCAAGATGTCACAGCATTCAATAACATGATATAACCAATATAAAATATCTGGAACACTGATGTCATTAAGTCAGGAGTCTGGTAAGCTGTAGCCAAGGTCAGTCTCTCACAGACTCGTAACATACTAGGACAATCACCATACCCATCTCCTCAGACCTGAATTTTAAACTGTATTAATGTATGCCAATTTCAAGTAGTAAGTCCAAGTACACATTTCTTGCAGTCAATTTTAGATGCAATAAGAGTTAAATATTTCTAGGGTATTATCTTACTATTTTCCAACATGTTACACAAAATGGGAAAGCTGGAAGAGGTCAGTCAGTAAAGTAATTGATTGGTTAGAGACAGAATCATTGGTGGTACATGCATAAATATTTCTGTTGATTGTGGCCTTCTCCTATGTGATGCTATATAGTCTTGCATGCCACAATCAACTTTTCCAATGCAGTGAGAACCTCAGCTATCATAAAGCAAGCCTGAGGCCTAAATCATATTTCATACCATATACATATTGTATAATATTTTTAAAAATGCTACAATTTCTTGACATATGCATATTATGCAAACAAAAACTGTATGCATATTTATTTATTTTATTAATTTAAAATTGATTTGGAACTGACAAGTTATTCATCCAAGCCATCTCTTTCCTATTAATGGTAATCCATGGTTTGTTTTTGGAACATACAATTTTGCATGTAACAGAAGTGTTGGAACCAATTATTTTTATATGCACAGTCCTTCCCTGATGAACCCAGTTACAAGTCCTTGTAAAATTCCTTCAATTCATAGGAAGAATATGAATACTTGAGGTTACCTCTGATAATAATCACATCATAGGATCTATCAGAATAACAGAGATTGTAAATGCTTTCACAAAGATACTTCAACAAGACGCTATCATACAAGTGGAAGACCTCCCATTTCGGAAAGATGTGAAGCGGAAGGTTTGGAACAAAGGAAGAACAATAATTATACCAGTCTGGTCTACTTCCATTGAATTTCCTATTCTTTCTTGAGGGGGGGGGGGGGGGGGGGGGGGGATTATTTATAACTCTGGCCAGCCTGTGTAAAACTATGCAACCCTTTAAAGGAAAGTTGGTTTATAAGTTCTTTCCAGAATTTACTGTTTACAGCAGAATACATTTGAGGAAAAAGGGGAACTTAACATTTTCAATGTTTATACAAGCCAAAAATGTCTTTTATCTTCTTCTTCTTAACTGGAGAGAATAGATGCATGTAAAGAATTTAGTACAAAAGAATTAAAGTGTGCCTGATTACTATAGTCTATAAAAAGCACTGTCAATTTATACCATTCTATATATAAATCAAAATATTATTTTAACCAAGCATTTTTAATTTATATTTATATGGTGTCTACAAGCTTAAAAATATTTAAGACCATTTATTTATTTTCAGTGCCTTCAAACAAAAATATAAGGTTATGTTTGAGAAAAATATCAAGTCTTATCCACAAACAGAGAGCTTGAACAATTAAAAGTGGGCCAATTCATAAGGAGTGAAAATGGTGAATTTCATTACAGACACACACTACACTAACATAACATGTCATCTTGGTATTTCTCAATCATGTTAATGTTCCAATTATAGAAATAATATCTAGTGGAATAGGGCTTAAATACAAGACAAAAACATTTCACACAAACATAATACTTATTTTAAAGAGACACAATTCCATTTACAGCAGCAGTCTATTTCTCTTCAAGATGAAGATGCACCTACTGTGGCACAACCTCACCATGCTCCACTAAGGACCATTCCCCACACCCTTAAAATATCTGGGGCAAACACAAAAAATGTATTTTTTATGACAAAATTTTAGAAGAAAATAAATAAATATTACAGACGATAAACAGACCAACATCCATGCAAACAATAATCCTCATGATGATTTGCTTAAATTATAATGTTTATTGACTGACTTCTAACCCAACTGCTCTGTAGAATTAAATCCTAGATATGTTGCTGATCCTTGCTGAGAAATGGTATTGGTAAGCAATAGAGAACACGAACAATTGATGTACATCAAATGCTCACTGAATGGACACAAAAACATTTTCATTCATTCTTTCTGGCTTCTAAACCTATAATGAGATTAAGCTTTTGTAACATTCTCCACCATAAGGAGAGACACTATAATATTTCAGCTGAATTGTAAATGGATGCTTATTACTTGCACAAAAAGAGTCAAAATTAAGTATACAGCGGTGTTCGGCTAAAATGTATGAGCTTGTTCTTCTGCCTTAACTTGGGATCTTGCTGAATGTTGTTAAACCATCTTGAGAGATGTAGATATTGCTCCTTTTCCTGGTAAGTCAAATCAACCTACCAACAGAGTATTTAACACAATGAAACCTAGGTACTGATCTAAAAATAAAATATCACCACTTTTAGAAATGTATAGTCAGAAACCTGTAAACAGTTGTACAGTGGCCACAACACAAATCAAAGCTTGAATGACATGTAGAAGGAAGGGGAAGACTTCCTTGAATACTATCACATGTGAAATTATTATATTTAGACTGTAAAAGTACCACATATGGCTTAAGGCATGTGCATGTTTTGCTGCTGTTTTATAGTTCCTTCGGTTCAAAAAACATAATGTAGTGTACAAGTCAGTATATAAAAATGCCACTCAGTATGTTGAAATTAAAAGAGAAAAATATGTTTTCATTTACACTGTACATACTGTTACAGACTCTATGTTGTCACAGTTTTCCTGATCATTAAGAATTATTATATAACAAACCTTTGTTATGTGTAAATTCTGTGAAGGTAAAGGATATGTACACTTCATATATGTCTCTGCTTACTAATATATCACTGGTTGTAAATTTTCTCCATAATATCTATTAATGTAAATTACTCCAACCCACAGTGATTGACAGTAATTACTTACCATAACACCATGCAAAACATAATAAAGCACAATATCAGCTAATGTCTGAGAACTGCCTACAAAATATGATCGTGTTGAAAGCACTGCATTCAGCTCCTGAAATAAGCATAACAATATACAATTTTCTATGTCTGATACTTTCCTACAAATGCTATGATCTATTCAGTTTAACCAGCATGAACTACATATTCATAATTATCCAATTTAGTGCATACTTTCAAGAAGTACAAATTTCAAATGTTAATTTTCTCATAACCTCAAAGTTACACACTATTAACATGTTTTTAATTCTTAATGCACAAAAGTATGCATTCTTACTACATGAAAGTCATTTCACACAAAATCCATAGGCATGCTTTTGCCTGCACATAAAATTTAATATGGTTTCTAATGGTTCATTATTGTTCTATAAAATTAAATACTGATGGCAACAGTCAAGGTGCTAGATGCCATAAGGACATGGCATCAGTCATTTCTTCCAGTCATGCTCTATAAAGAAATACCATGCAATACCTTAAGGACCTGTCGAGCTGTTTGTGTCAAATCCACATAGTTTCCATAACAGACAGCATATTCAATCCACTGCCTCACAAGGGCTTCATCTTCCTGTGTCTTTCCAAACTGAGATTTCTTGCACTGTTTTGCCAAAGATATTACAATTGTCCCAAAACCAGAAATTGCTTCACTGTTGCCATCAAGTCCTGTCACAACAGGAACCTGTATCTAGAAAACTCTTTTGGTTAAGCCACATATGTTTTTCAAGATTTAAAAATCCTGACTGAAATTAAAATACAGAACACTGTAACCAACAACCAGGTTATAAACAAAGCCACAGGATGTGTTTCTAGAACTGTTTTACTTACATTAAAAATGTATAATAGTTTACACTGTTCCAATGTTTGGATCTTTTGCCATACAAAATAGGTAAACATTTTTACAATTTCCTATCATCCCAAAGTTCACTTCTCTGGCTATGATGTTCCATCTGTAACTACTAAAAAAATTTCAGTTGCTATCTTTCCACTGTGCATTGTTCCAAACTGCACAAGCATACACAGTAACACTAGTACTACACCCGCAATTCCTAATTATGAAAAGATAATAAGAAATGGATAAGAAACAACATTAAAAATGTTAATAATAGCTTAATTTTGTACTGGACTCTTAACAGTATAACAACCTTAAAAAAACAATTTAAAACTCAATAAAGAAGTATAAATGTCACAAAAATTACAAACGTGCTGTGACTGAAACAAGCAGTATATATTATATAACCTAAGAAGTGTCAATCTTGGTCTTAATACTTCCAACAGTTAAACAATACGATTGAAAAATGTGCAACATGATGGAAAAAACATAACACGGCACAATATCATCATCCTGACTTAAGAAGTAAACCAATCGAAATATTTTGCAGTGTTTAATTCAGTTTAAATAGATTATCTTCCTGGAAAAAGCTGGTTTCAATTGAGAACAAACGTTTTATTGATGAAAAGTATTAGAAAAATAAAGTAAAAGATTTATTCATAAAGAGTACATGTCATGAATAAGTAGACAAATAACGTATTTTACCAATTCGGACTCTCATCGGTTTATTTCATCTCGTAAATGAACACGTGGCTTTAAATATTGAAAACTACAATTACACTAATCTAGAAATGTTTTTAAAATGTTCTTATTAATACACATAAAACCCATTAAAACAACAAACGTAATAACGAACAGCCTTAAAATATATTTACCCTTTCACTTTCTTTAATGGACAATTTCCCGCATTTAATTTCTAAGAAATTTACAATTTGTTTAATACATTCGATGTCACACGCCACCATCTTTTTTGCTTTCATCAACCCACAGTTAATATTGCCATCATCTCAGAAACAAATATGCATGCTCAGCTGCGTCTTGGATGAGTCCGATGGGCGAAGCACCATCTGTTATGATTAGCATGTATTTTGTTAAAGTAACTCTACTCCGCTGCTGCTAGATGTCGGGATTGCTTGCTGTCCCCACCCCCTTTTTCAATACAAATCCGACGGAGGTGAGTTCTTGAGAAGATAACATCATGCTCATCAAGTCTTGAAATTCCCAGCCTATTATGGAACCCGAAGATACATTACCATGTTCCCTACCCTAAACCAGATGAATCCAATCCAAATCCGAAATAAACAATAAATAAATAAAGATCTATTTTAATATTATCGTGTATCCCCTGCAAGTTACATTTCCCATTCAAATCATGTTCCTTCATTTGATCAACTCAATAATATTTTATAAAGAATGTAGGTTCACCATAACAATTTCAAATCATATTTATGTAGACTATACATTCTACTTTATGACTTTAAATAGGTCTATATTTAATGTGATAAATTCAATTAAAGTTAAGTGCAGTGCCATTTTTACAGCATCAAAATTCATGTTGTAACATTAAATGCCAGGATCTGCAATGAAAAATACAAAGAACTAAAGTATGTGATACATACGTACTTACATTCATACATCTTTATTACATTTTATGAATCCGTAAGTTAGTCAGATGACAATGGATAAACAGACAGATATGGCAAGCATATAATATTTTCTTCTTTTTGCTTTACCAAATAAAATGTAAGAAGTAAACAAATAATTACTGGTAAAGGGTGCAGCTTGGATTAGTGGTTAAAATATAGGTCATACATGGGATATTCAAACCAAAGCAGTTTTTGCTCTAGCATAGCAATCACTTGGTATTTTCACCACAGAATTCAATTACCACCAGTGCCAGATATATTTGTGTCCTTTACAAACCCTTAAAAGCTCTTGTAATTACTCTAGCAGTTTATGCTAGATTAATAAAGAAATCCACCTCAAAACTGACAGCAATAAAGTTGTTTAACTTAGAAGCACTATTATTAGTTACTTAGTGTCATTATTAGATTTTCTTAGTTCTGTCAGTGATTATAATGCAAGTTAAATATTATTTTTTGCTTCTTATTGATCATCTCAAGATTGACATAGCTTAAGGCTCTAACATGTCAATATTATGCTCCCTGTCTTTAATTAAACATCTACTTAGCAAAATTAAACCCACTCAAGGACATATTCCTTGCACTGTATATATATACACACAAACACAGATACTGTTCAGCAGATGTAAACTTGCATAGTTAAAATATGTGCTACCAGAAATGTTATGCTTCAACTTTGAAATGATCTTGGTAAGTTAATTCATAGAATGAAAATAATGAATATTTTGTATTATCTCATAAGTAACTCCTAAAATATTTTCAAACATTTGTTTCTATGAAAGATAGCAATTTCCAATGACTTATACATGAGTCACAGGAAAATGCAATCTTTCATACTTACATCTTCAATTAACAAACTTCTTATAATTAAAGCATGATATGAAAATTTTATGATTTTAAATTGGAACCACATCACTTTTTAATATGGATGTACTGATGCATACACATGTGCACACAAACACAAGATGAAGTACCTGCTGATCATGTGTTCTCATGTTCTACTGTTATCAATGTGTAAAACAACAGAACATATTATAGGAGATTCAAGGTTCTTATGGTATGAAGGTGTCAGTCAATATTAGTCTTCTGGGAAGTTATACTGTGTGGAATTGTAGGGTGGTCTTCTAGGTAGTAATGTCATGTAGACTTGTAGCAACTACCCTCACATGACATTATTACCCAGAAGACCAACATTAACGAAATATTACAACTTTGTATATTTTACATTTCAGATTCTATTTGTAATGTGCCTATAAAACTTTTAAAACTTGAGATAACAGTTGTCAGTACACACACCAGCCATTTATTCACATGACATGAAGGGTTATAAGATTATTGAGACATTGTTTATATTTCATTTAATGTATTTCTGTTTACACTAGTACTATGACAAATCAATCAGAAAACTGACAGACTACAGGCTAAACCACTTTCTTGTTGTTATATTTAATGATGTTGCATCAGCTGTTTAGGTTACATAGCATAAAATGATAAATTGTAGAATAATAGTAAGTAGGGATCTGGAAAAGTCATCAGAAGAAGCAGCTGAGGCTTATTTTAGTTGTCTGAAAGAACACAGAAAATGCAAAGAAGCTCTCAATCATGTCACCAATTTCTGTCAGTCTGAGAGATATTCTGAATGTGAAAGATGAGAGCAGTCTATTTATATGGAACAAAGAAATTGAGAGGCTGGAATTCATATGGTTCTGTGTATTAAATGAAAGATCCACAACTGGATGCCCATAAGACAAGCTTCTTTCCATACTTAACCATGTTACACTGCCACTAATACGGAATGGTCAGGAATCCCATATATATTTTCCATATCAAATTCTTTTCTTTATAATTTCTTCTTTTAAAACCAGTGATGACTTGGTTATAAAACTATTAAAATGTTTGTAGGTGCTGTATATTTTACTAGTGGTGGTGGCTGGAAGTAACAATCAAACCATAAATGACAATGGGATTGCTATTGATATCAACCCAACACAACAGCCATCAACAACCAAAAACTTGCTTCAACAAACTTCAAGAACCAGTAATCTGTCACTACAGTATTCAACGACTGATAACCTGACACATCAATCAGCAACAAAAAATCTGTTACTACAATCATCAGCTTTTGATATTACATCACTAAAATCCTCAACAACTGATGACCCAACACACCGGTCCACAGCAGCTAATAACCTGTTATTAAAATTTTCAACAACCAACAGTCCGCAACTTCAATCCTCATATAAGGAAGCAACCAGAACTGAAGCAGAAAATATGAAGTCTTCAGAACAAGATGACCTACAAACAGCAAGTCAGATCCAAGTATATACAGTATGGAGATATGGCTGGCCAGTGACGGGTTGGGGGTATCTTAGACCTGGATGGGGGTATTTTAGACCTGGATGGGGATATCATAGACCTGGATGGGGATATCGTAGACCTCGATGGGGGTATGGTAGACCTGGTTGGGGTTATGGCAGACCTTATTGGTGAGATAAGAAATGCTTGTGGTATCTATATATTTTGAAATGATGCACCTCCTCCTACTCATTTTCTTCTGTCAGTTTGTGTGATGTCTGCTATGTGCGTCATTTGAAACATGCCTTTTGCACTTATGCTATTAAAATTTAGGAGAGACATGATGCTATAATTTTATTTTTATGTATAATTTCTAACATCAAATAAATGAATATATTATAATAATTATTTTATTTGAGATGTCTGAGATCATGACAATTAATTTCAAATGCTTTAGGAATTTCTGTGTTTAATATAATTATTAATGCTATAATGGAAATAATAAATACACAATTGCCCTAATTGTAAAATAACAATGAGATGGAAATGTTTATATATTTGTTTAATGCTGGATTAATACAATATATTGTGACTGCTGCATATTTTTTCAATGATGATAACACGAACACATCACATGGCCACAGCAGTTCATACAAGATAATATAATATTTTGGTTAGAAAACCTCTTTAAAGGCAGTCAAGTGGAAGATGAAAGCACAAATGATACAATAATAAACATCTGAGAATGTGAACTGAACAACAGATACAGGATAAGGTCAAATTATATATTTGCATGATGATAAAACTTCAGGTTCTATAACTGGGACATTTTTAAGTTTAATATTTATTAACTTTTACAAGGGAGTTCAGTCACATAACATTAGTTAGCAGAAATGATGAGACAGAGGGACTGAGTAATTCTTACAGCTGATATTGGCTAATAAAATGAAACACAATAAAAAGTGAAATTATATATAATTCTATATCACAGGGCAGTATATATGTAAAATTACACGAGTTTAAACATATATACTGATACAATATAAATGGAATGTATAGAATGACAATTGTATAGGGATGATCTATGAAGTATAATGGCTCTGGAAGCATAAACATTTTTAAGCATATATTAATCAATGGTTGTTTTACAAAAAATACAATTATTTCATATTTACATGTTTACAACAGAGCATATTGAAAAGCTTTAAAATTATAAATATGCACAATAATAGAATCTGCACTTATAACATATACTGGAGATTAAAATTTTTCACTTAGTAACTTGGAAGGCTTTAAGAGATGTGGCAGTAACTCAGGAAAGGTATTTTGACAAAGCAAAACCAAAATATATGGTATAAATCCTATAACTGCTCCATACTGAACACGGTAGTGAAGGGAAAACTACAGCTAGAAGGCCAAATCAAACCTGCAAGACAACAAACAATGGTTCACAATGAAACATTACATTTCAAAAACTTAGAGAATCAGATGTATACACATTTTCAGTGACTATCAATAGACACTATTTTATACCTCCAATACTGTCTGATAAATGGTGTATGAGCCACAATGCACATAGAATGGTGTCTATACATCCCCATAGCATTGGTACATACTTACTGTCCATATCTGTCCATTACAAAAGTGAAAGGAGGATGAGGGCAGTAAAAATTTAACAACAAATTACTTTTTCGTTTACTTCAAATATTTTGAATCACAAAACATATCTGCATGTTCTGTCAATAGAGATTAAATGACATGTCTGTAAACTTTCCCAAATACAGTGCATATTTACTTCCTATAAATACTTTCAAAACCACACTGTACATTATATTCATACAAATTAAACTGTTACTTTAACAGAAGCTAGCACAAAAACGTCATCACTGACCTAAAAATGTTGACATTTCCATGGAAGGTGTTTGGAGGGAAGAAAGTGCACTTTACAGTCAAGCAAATATGTAATCTACTCCTAAATAAATATGTGAAAGGGCAGAGGTTCAAAGAGTAAAATGGAGTGTGTACCACTCCAACCAATTTAAAATAAATTGGTAATAAATCATTCAAACAATTTAAATATTTGTAGAAAATTTACCATATTCTAATGTTATACGGAACATTTGACAAAATACATTGGGACAGGACCTGTTACAAAAACACTACTACAATAGAGATGATATCTAGCAGGAAGAAGATCAATTAAATAAATGAATCATGATATTCAATATAACTACAGAAGATACTTATTTTCTAATTATTACAATACATAACAGTAACATATTTATATAGGTAATTTTTTTAACAACATTATTTTCTTTATATTTAAATATCTCTAATTCGACTAGAACCGAGAGAATAATTTACAATCATGTAGACTGTATCAGACTTTGTGGCGATAACAGTATTAATGTGTCTCCTACTGCAAAAAGTAAAAAGTAAAGCTGTCCCACTATATGCCATGTAGGTGCCTGGTGGGGAGAGGTGGCATAGCTCCTGCTCATTCTTGACCTCAGTATTAGATGGGGGTGAGTGGCCATGCTTTACCCCTGGGAAAGGACCCTCATACCCATTGGATAGGAGGCTGGGTGGGCACCAAAACCAGTCTGGACGCAGAGGCTAGGGGGTAAATCTTCTGCCCCCATCAGGGATCAAACCACTGTTGTCCAGTCCATAGCCAGTCACTATACTGACTAAGATATGCCAGCTCCTATCTCCTACTGCATCCAGCTATAATTAATGTTCTTTCCAAACACCTGTTTGAAACCTTATGTACCTATGGCTGAATTTATATCAATATCTATAGTTTTACAAAAACCACTGCCACATGTTATAATTTAGATAAAGCAGAATATAATAAAACAGGCTAAACTAGGAGTTTCAAGAAAATTACTATTGCTACCTTATGAACAGAACAAACACCACATATCAAAGAAAACTCTGGGTTCCAGTAAATACAGAACAAAATATTAAGCACTTTATAACTTCACATAATCAAGTAAAATGTCTTTAGTTTCCCTAATTTCTTTTTGCAGTTTGTGTTTATGAGTACCTAGTTACTAGATGAAATCACTCTTTTAAATAATAAGACTTGAGGACAAAGTATGTTCCATTGTATCTTTCTCTGTCCTTATATCATTTTGTCTTTCTCTTTTTTTGTATTTTCATACCAAATCACTAATCTGGGATTGCCACTTAATCTGAAGGCAAGAACAAGTGACTGAATCCCAGAACAAAAATATTTAAAGTCTAGTGAGATACAACAATTTCTATTATGCATATTTGTAAATTTGTTTGATTCAAGTAGTCATCATTATTTAAAATGAACTCAGTATTTAACTTCTGCATTATCTAGTGGTCAAAATGCTAAATACATCATTCTTACTATATAAAAATAATGGAAAAGTCTTAAAACAGAAGCCCATTGTTAAGTTTAAGTAAAAAATGTGGGAATCCAAAAATCTATAGTTGTGTGCTTTTATGAAAAGTCTGCACAAGAATTATAGTTCTAATAACAATAATAGCAATAGATTGAAGGTGATCAAGCACATTCAAAGAAGCTTAAGTTTCATAAAAATTAAGGTTACTTTGAAAATGTAAACATTTTTTGGCAGTCCTAATACATACATTTTATCCAAGAAATCACAAGTTCCAATTAAGACTCTTCTATTGATATATATTTTAAAAAAATCACACATTGAAAAATAAGTGAATTTCCACAAATCAGAAACTTCCTATTTAGCATAGATGTTAAAATATTTGTAATTCCACGGTAGTGTCCACAAAACAATAATATATGTTTTGTGCTGCTGCAGAAAAAGTGCATTTCATCTAGACCTGTACAATAAACTGCATATGCAGTATGAATTTATGTATGTTTATTCTGCCAATCAGCACCACTCATTTCTTTGATACACTTAATTTTTCAGTTTCAGTGCCCATGAAAATGAACACAATACTTTACACTATCAGGAAACAAACTAAACTCAATAGAAATACTCATTATCTGAATATCTTCGCAGAACATTCTGATTATTTTAGCAACAAGAATGTGTTGCCTTTAACAAGAATTTAGAGACAGAAAATGCAAGCATCTGATTATTAAACACAAAATTCTTTCTAAAATGCTGAATATTAAAATAAATGCATATTCTCACTTCCATTCAGAATTATTAAAATGCTGTTGTAAAATTCCATACAGTATACATATATACCAAAAGAAAGTGTGCTCTTGCGCATTCATTTTTTCCAAGATTTTCATACTTACAAGTATACATATAAAAAATACATAGCTTTTATACTTTTTGTGCACTAAATGTATATTACCAATACCCCTTCTTCCACAATACTACTACTTTTAAAATTCTTGAATTGTTTGGATGGTTTGTGTGCTTATATTATCCATCAGAATCTTTATGAGAATTTGACACAGACAGGAACATAAGTTATTTTAGTATTGCAAGAAACAAGTGATTCAACTTCACATGTGTATCATTATTGGCCAGTGAAACTTCGCCCCTGCTACACTGACTAACACAGCAGTCTTGTCAAATGAGATCCACCTATGTTGCTAAAAATTAAATTACATAAAGCTTATACGGAGCATCTATCTTGTGCAGGGATGTCCAACTTAATGTTAATTCTCAGTGTGAGCCAGATAAATAATATCAATGACAGTATAACTTTCTATTTCTCATATAATTATGACTAATATACACTGAAGTATGTTCTTTGGGCAAGAGAATGTCATACCATTTTGATAGCAAATCAAATAAAATTAATAACGACAATTAAAAATGTCAGTAACAGCAGACTCTACAAGACTATAGAAGAAACAGGACAGAATGAGCTATAACATAACTCACTCTCATAAAAAAAAAAAATTGAATCTATGCAAAATATCAAGCTATTCCATGATGACATTATGAAAGACATCTGAATATATAGAAATATTGTTTTCTAATAAATGTGTTGGGACAAATATGCCCAGTAGGATCATTATGTACAGTGAACAGGAAAGTGTGGTAGAGAAAGCAGTCATGGTTAATTTCAATGTATGACTAAAACCATGAAAAATCTGGGGCAGCTTATAGGTGAGCCTTTTAACTACTACCTCTAAATACAGATCAGGTTTCTTACCAATAAATCAACATGCCAGGTCAATATATATGTGATTATATCTAAGCTGTGTGCTAACCACAAATAACAAACCCAGGCTCAAAATTGGGCATCCCTGCTTTAAAGCAACTGGTTAAAGGTAATAAAACAGATGATGTGCAACAGATACACACATGAGTGAATCATTATTCTCTGAACTACAGTATAATCTAGTTTATATTGAAAACCCTGGCAAACAGCAATAAAAATCAGTATGTAACTGCATGCCTATTTGTCTATTAAGTTCATTTATTCAAATACTTGAAAATACCTCCACTGCATCAAATTATCCAAACTGCTGAGTGATTTTCTTCTTATCTTGCAAACTTCTAAATATGAAATTCCATTATAACATTCATTACATATATCAGGGCAAATATCAGTCAAATATTCACTATAAATTGTTACAACACCTGACAATTTCCTGTCTCTTGATATCATTATGAGAAACCAAATGAGTTCACAGATCTGCTTCTTTATGTAACATGAACATGAAACACAACTAATTATGCTTCGTGGTCTCCAGAGTTGATTCCAATCAATGATTCGGTTTGCTCATCTTCACAATCAGAGATTCTGAAAGAAAGAAAAACAGTAATGCAATGACAATTTTGTGTCCCTTGATTTCTACACTTACAAAAATTCACTGTATTTCAGTTCTTCAATAATATATTTTTTGACTTCAATACTTTTCACATCACCTTACAGAGCCCGACAACTCAGAAATATATTCCTTCACAATTGCCAAAGCAGACAGAGCCCATGCAGGTGGAAGAGATCACAACTGGAAGAATTACCCAAAAGAATTTCTGATACTTAATAAGACAAGAGTATACAAGCTTTTCTTAAACAAGATATGGTTTAATGACCCTTAACTTGCAATGGTAAGGCCTGTGACACACAAAGTGCTTAATTACGTAATGCAACATGTGACCTGTGTAATAAATGAAATTAATACCCTTAAAAGAATGAATTTCCAATTTTGAAATACAAGGAAATATATTACCTGACTGGTCGATTTCTTCTAAACACAAAGATGTAGCACCTCCGAATACCTTCCATCACAGGGTCCCAGTTCTCATAATGGGCAAGCAATGTTACAGCAAAAAATGCAAGAAACATTGGTACAGAACCAATGTAGAACATGGATGGATAATTCACTCTTTTAAACACCACATCAGCAAACATTGACATTGGAATTGTGAGGCTTATGGCAACAGTAGCTATCAGTGATGATGTCAAGAAACAGCCCCTATTGGAAAATGGAGAACCAACAACTTTTAAGAACATTCAAACTTGTGTAAAGAATGCATAATAAAACCTTCCTTATACGCTACATATGAGGGAAACATTTAGAGATTTGTTGTATTATTTCTATATATTTTATGAAACATAGTAGTTACATTTTCAGATTTATACAGCATAATAACTCAGTTTATTCCTGGTAGGTGAACTTAACATTCAAAATGAAAGATACAGACACACATAGGTGTTTGTACTCAACAAGTGACAAACTGTAAAACACGTTGTCCTTTGTGTATATATAAATATTGGATTTCATTAACTTAGCTCGGTATTGGAAAAATATGAACTACAATCTGTCATGATAATAAACAAATTTTTATCATAAGAAACACACAAACAACACAGATAAAGAGTCAGTATTACATACCAGAGCCAAAGTACTTCTGATAGTACAGTTCCAACCAAGCCATTGAGTAAGAGGAATGTCCACTGATGCTGTGTAGGCCATTCAAACAATTCCCAATTACTGTAGTGGAAAAGGAAGAACAATGGCCACAACAGTAGCAGATTAAACAATCCAACAAATCCTGAAAATAGAGATCACAGTATAATATCATCATCCTTATCCATATATTCAAATTTATGTAATTATAACTTACTGGTTATACTCAATATCACACACCACAAATTCTGTAGGTTTAAATTTTATTAAAAAATTAATTAAGAAGGGGAGAGTTACAAACTGTTTATGTGCAACATATCATCATAAAATTCTATTGAATTCAGTATATGTTCAAAGTTTACAAAAGGTTAAATTTCTGGCTGGTAAATTAACCCACTGAAGCTGAAGCTCATCCATAAAATATCTAAAAATTCAGAACTCATCTCAAAGAAAACACAATTTATCACCATTACAAAGATAATGCAGTTAATGTTTTGAGAAATAGCCACTGTTTATTCTAAGAATCATATGAAAGCTATAAATACAGTGTTTGGGCAAAATGCAGTTACTGATTGTTAACCAGGTAGTATATAGTTACAATTGGGTCTGGAAGCAAACAGCATGATATTTAGACTGCAAGAAACATTACTAATTTGTTTGTTATGGACTTTATCCAATGTCATTTTCATCATCTTCAAGTCACAATATTTTGAAGACTGGATCTTTCTTTATATTCAGGAATCAAAGAGATGACATCCATTCTGTTGGATCTGGTAGACTGAGCTACTTTATCTGTGGAGATTCACAGATTGAGAGTAGCTATTATATTGAGATTAGATTCTCAAAATCCATTTCTCTACCATCTGCTTTAATATCATTCTCCCTTCATCATTGCAACCTCTAAGTAGTCTTTTTCCATGAGATTTCATAATCAAAATTTTGAATGCATATCTTATTCAACTGTGAACATAACACGTCCTGCTCATCTCAACTTCCTGGATTTCATTACAGAGTACAAAATACAAAGTTCCTCATTAAACAATTTTCCCCATGCTCTTGCTGGTTCTAGGAACACTTTTTCAATAATAATTCAGATAAACCTTCACATTTATTTAATGTGTGTTCTTCCCTTGAACAGACAGATCAAGTTTCACACCCATATGAAACCAGTAGACTCACAATTTTCAGGTATTCATTAATAAAGCAATAAGATAAAGGACAATGAAATCAATGACAGCACATTATTATCATTATATGATAACAATATGCTTTATTAAAATGACTGTCTTCTTCAATGTTGAAATATATAGTCTGACAAATACTGATTAATGTTTCCACAAAATGTTGGTAAATATCTACCAGACTATATGGTATAACAACCAGAATAAACCCTTTTTCATATTCATCACTGTGAAAACCTTATCTCACCAATATGCTCTATTCTTCTAAATCCTCTCATAAGCACTACCCTCATATCTGTATACAAGACAATCTAATTATGATGGCTGTCTTCTGGGTTGTTGAGCAGTGTAGTCTGGTAATCTGGCATACTTCTACCAGACTGTACAGCGCAACAACCCAGAAGACAGTCATCTTCGGACTCACTGCCATGAAAACCTCAAATTCTACAAGACAATCTAATTTTTATACCGGTTCTTCATTCACTGAACACAGAATTACCCCTAATTACAACACGTTTATCATAGACACCTACCAAAAAACATAGGAATGTCCATTTTATCTTCATGATCTACTTTCTTACGTAAGAAGACCAAGTATGCAGCATAGAAGAAAGCGCTAACTAGAGCCAAAATAGCTCCTGTTGGAACCTTCAATTCAACTTTGAGGTCTGACAGGCTGACCAGCACCTTTACACAAACAGAAATAATCAGGAAGCAACAACATGTCAAAATAAGTGTTCCAGAGTACTTTATGAAAGAATCATGTCTTCATTAATTATATTCTCTACCACATCAAGGAATTTCCTGTCTATCCACTAAGGAATTGTGGATCAGTATGTTATTATTGCTTAAAGAATGTAAATGGGGTCGAGTAATGAGATGTATTACTTGCAATTCCAATATCTCTTGGTCTGTCAAAGGAATATCTGGTTATTAATACAGAAAAGGTATATGAGAGTAGTAATTTACTTACAAGTCCACTGATGCTAATACAAACAGCTACCAATTTAGACAGAGTGAAGCGGTCACCAAGGTTCGATGGAAAAAGAGCAGCCAATATAAGCGTAAATAAACTGGATGTTGAAGACAGAACTGTGACAATGCCTGCTTCAGTATCAGCTAGAGCAATCTGATATGTATAGTTGGCAATAAACCACTGAAAAAAAAGTAACAGCTTAGTTTTTGACAAAATAGAATATTTACCACTGCTCTTACAAACAACTAATTATATTTCAGGCTAATCAATAATCTATCAGAAGCAGTTTCCAGTTTTAAGTTCAACTGGTTTGCTCTTTCAGTTTAAAAATCTACATTTTTGCTATGGAAATGTTGGAAAGATGAGGCAATGAAGATTGCAAATGGAAAGGTCGTGAAATTTAATATGTTCTCAAAATCTGTTACTTTAAACATGAAACAGTAACAATTTCAAACTCAGCAAATCAACTTAATGGATGGAAACAAGAAAATATGAAGATTCTCCAATAAATACAGATGGCCCTTGCAGTAACTTCAGAAGCCTTCTGAATGTAAATTATATCACTAAGCATGCTGAAAGATTGGAGAATTTTGAAACAGCATTCTAAAATATTCATGAATAGTTTGTAAAAATAATTACAGTATAGAGGCCCATAACTTGGTAGTTTCATGCAAGGAACAAACTGCATAAATTTTTCTTCAAATTTATATTAGACAAAAGAGAGGGAGAACTGTACAATGTTGTTCTTCTGGGTTGTAGTATTGTGTTGACAAGGAACTGTAAATTAAACATATTTATGAATTGTTTTTATTTTCATGGTACTTGTCAACATGTTACAAATGGTTATTAAATGCCTTACAGTTTTACTTTCACATTTCTTACTTTTGCCCTGTACTAGAACAGACTGCTGTTCCACTTGTCCTGTCCTAGCTTTACCTCTGTCATAAATGACTATAATTTTCCATACTTATGTAACTCACCAAAATGCAAAATATAAGAGCAATTTTTGCAACTTTCTGTATAGGGAATTTACTAGCTGCTCGTCTTGCAACTTCTCCCGCACGTACACTGGCTTGATATGACAGACGTGCCAAAAGTGCTTCAGTTGCATCAGTCTCTGACATGTGGCGAACCTGCAAAAATAAGTTGCATACACAAGACCAATTCCCTATATACAATATAATGCAGAACCCATAAAAGAGGAAGAATGTACTTATGAAACATGTGATATAAATTAAAATACAAAATTATCAAACTAACCTCAGCAAGTTTGCTGAAACGTACAGACTTTACAGATGAGTCATCACTCTCAGTTCCTGAGCTTCTGTCACTCAGATCTGGGAATTTTATTGGAACAAATGTAGGATCACTCTGCAAAAGAATTTACTCATCATGCTCAACTCACTGCTCATTGTTAAACAATAAAATGTAACATGTTTAGACAAGTTCCATAGGGAATAAAAATTATCCCTTTTACATTGTTTGATGTTTCTGCCTGTTAAGTTTTAACATTCCACTTACTTTTAAATGTTTTGTCACAGTCATAACTTTTGAACCATGACTGGCAATTAACAATTAGTATTATGTACATGTGAGTATACTTGCACACTATACAGTTAAAAACTGTCTTGAAACTTGTATTCAGTTTATGTAAGATGGATTGAAGTATTCTTCCTTTGAGCTGTCCAATACTGCACTTGGTAATTTGTTTATTAACATAACATATAAATATAAGCAAAAGTAAATTCAGATAAAATCTTACCAGACTTGTAGTTCCCTCTGTATAGAAGTTTTCATCTTCCACATTTGGGTCAATATACTGTAATAAGAAAATATTTTGCTCAGCCATTGTGTAAACTGTTATTGTCACTAACAATTGCTTTGAGACCTCCAACTGAAATCTTATGCCCAATTAACAAACATTTTTTGACTTCATCCAATATGAACAGCTTACTCATTAATGTACCGAGTTACTTTAGTCTCAAAGTGTTTAAATGTGAAACCAAACTCAAGGTGCTTTACTTATATATTTTGACCCAAAATTATGGCTGAAAATCTGCAACTTTTTCAGTAGTGCCAAAAGAAACCTTTGTCAAATAAGATATAGTTGTTTTATGGTAATTTCTATTTAACCAGCCATAGGAAGTATTCACCACTAGTTTCTTTTGACAATAGAAGTGTTTTTGCTTCTCCTGAAAAACAGCATTTTTTCTGATTCTCAGCTTCATCTATATAATTACCTTCATTTGAACAACACGTATTTTATAACCTTCAGTATTCCAACGGGAATCATAATTTTTAACCATTTATTATGTTATTTTCCCGGCTGTCTTCATTTCAAAATTTAAGACTTGAAAAACTAGTTAATAAATTAATCAGTCATCAATTTTATATCATACAAAGGCCTTCCTCTTGACATTACAGTGATATAGTCACTCAAAACCTAATTCTATGTACGATGACACACATTACTTATTGCAGAATATCATGTGCCAACTATGACATTCATATAGGTACAGTTCTGGTCTAATAAATGTATACAGTATAGCCTACCTAAATTAATGAAGATACGTACATTTGATGTGGTATAAATTGTAAACATACCATATATGTGGCAGGTTTGTTACACTGGTCCCTCCAAGGTGGCCAAAAGCACAGCCCCAGAAGATACAGAGTGAACATTGAAGTCTTCACATATGTGCTGAAGAAAGGTTTTTCAAAATCTTCATTGTGATATATATACTGAAAACAAATTATATTACATTAAGGTAACAGGAAACAGAATGAAGCAAATGTTCTAATATTTTCTTGTGCTACTTATCACCCACATTAACCATGTTGCCATCATGAAGGAGTGCCCAGCAATATACAAATTAATACAATTTTTGATGGGTTTTGACAATGGTGGATTACTCTTAAAATTATATGATATCTGGACAAAAACGCTGGAAAATTGCCAGATATCGAACAATTTTAAGTATATACAAATTAATTTTGAAGTTAACTAAATATGTGATAAAATCATCCACAGGACTGACATACACTGGTGTTCAAGATGTCAGCATCCAACCTACTGTACTGCCACCTTTGTAAATGTTGGATTCCAGGTTCTCACAACAAATATGCAGATGACTATCTTCTGGGTTGTAGCACCCTGATAACAGAGGCAGTAAATGCCTCCAAAATATTGGTAAACTTTTACCAGATTAAATTGTGCTATAACCCAAAAGATAGCAGCCTTCATTGTGAATTTTTTAAAACAAAACAGAATTTAATGTAGATTATGAACATAGCATTGGTAAACACCTGGGAAACAAGAGATGATGGGGATTTTAAGCCATACTGGCAGTCATTTTGGAGTGAAGAAAACTTTTCATACAGAGGCTTAACTTTCAAATATTTAAGTAATCCTGGGAAAGTTCCCTCAGTACATGATTCCACAGATAACTTAAAGGAACGCTAATATAGTGTGAGCAAGTTTTGTGAAATTTTGTCGGTATTCCATAATTATAGCTTACTTTTTTTAAAGAGAACTAATTACATTTATTTTTACTTCATTTGCTGCTGTATGCATAAGATCTATATCTGGGAAGGTCCTTGGTGTAATTTGTAATATAATTTGCGTACAATACCACAGTAGCAAACACTATACATATGCAACGGAAGAGTAACGTTCTCATCACCTTGGTCAACTCTGAGGAAGATACCCATATAACATCAACTAGCAGAAGGACGAAGAGCCCCAACAAGAGACGTTGTGACTTGTTTAACATTCCGCCCACAGACGATCCTACATTCACCACTTTTACAACCACTGTCATCGTGCTTTCATGGTGAACGAAATGATATTTATGTAGCTGAAAACATCTCAGTTGTATGACTAAATATATTACAGGAAATTTAAACAACTTCTTAAAAATACTGGGGGCGTTTGAATTTAGCCAGTCTTCCTATTCTGTACAGCAGCTTTTAATTTGACATCTCGTATCGGATCAACAGCCGTGAATTCATAAACACTTCATTAAATAATTAACTGAAGAATCACTCATATAAGTCTTTCCTTAAGATTTACATTACAATTAAGTCAGCACCATTATCTTCCCAACTATCATTGCAAACTGAACATATATTGACGTCACATGACTGATGCAGACGACATTAAATGTAAAGTGGCGCCCTGATACCGGAATACGGTGCAGTCACCTATTTTAACAGTATCGCCAACAACAACGAATTTTTGAAAACATATTAATTACTAATATGAGCGAAAAAGTTTACGATGTGTGCATAAATCCATTTAATGTGTTTGTGTATAATATTCCTTACAATTTCCCCGAAACTTTGTTGTATTTACTTACAAGCACGGAGTACAGATTATACCTATAGGTTCTAAAACATGTTGGTCGTACTGCTAATCATCGAACTTTATAAGGAGGTTAGACGAACACATTATGAATTGGTCTGCTTTACACATTCCTTTACAGACGCTTGAATGTCCTGGGGAGGAACGTGTAAATCGGGTCGTAGAGACCAAAGGGAGCATACACGATCATATTTCATTGTTCAGGAAAAATCGGACGATCGGCGGGGACCAAAATCTTGGTCTGAGAAAAAATCTGGATTGTTTTGAAACTTTACATGCACAGATAAATCTGTAAGTGAATAAAATAATATTTTCGACAATTAGGATTTGAGATTTACACGGTTGTGAGTCTTGTCTTGTGGATTGTCGCAACGTGCAGTCTGATGGAAGTTTACCGACGTTTCAGAGGTTCTTATTGCCTCCATCATCAGGGCGATTGAGACAGCAAGGAACTTTTGATAATGTTTCTTCGGGTTTGTGGCGCTGTGTAGAATCGTACGTAGATGCCAACATTTCAGAGAAATATTCTATTTCTATCTTTAAGGCCGAAGTGGCATCGACCCTTTTTATTGTCTATGTGACAAACAAGAAATTCTAATGGATTACCGTACAATGAAATACAATATATCTCTGTATTGGCGTGTGAATTCCATGCATAGAACGTTACAGGATCGAATTGTAGTCGAATGAAAGTCTCGCATTGCTTCCAATTATAAGTTTGTTATAAGCTATTATTCTTCTGTACAAATTTTGCCAATGTTATTTTTTGTGGACACAATTTCAACTATTCGCATCGCCATCATGTTTGTGATTATGACTTACAGACACTGTTCCACTTTATGTAGGATTTTTAGATATTTTTATGATCTGTCTTCACCCTAGTTTTCACCTTCCCATCTCCAACGACTCATTAATCAACGCCATCAAACTGAAAGTTAAATATAGAATGCTTGTAGCCGACATATTGCTGTTTTACATTTTGGGAGGAACAAGCTAAACAGAAGTAAAATATTTGTTGAAGACGAAGAACCATTCATCATTTCAGAACTTTATATGAAGTGGCGCGAATTTCGTTTCTCTTTCACAGTTGTGTGCATTTCACACATTATTACCGATTGTAGGAAATTGAAAGATACGAGGTTAAAGTGATCTCCACTGGCATAACATTACCATACAATTTCGGGGTCTAGTAGTTCAACAGCTGAAGGGGAAATACACATATACAAATACCTGGTGTTATAATTTAATGGAGGAAAGGAAGCTAAAAACGGACTATTTTGGAAACCCACTGTTAAGACCACTCGCCGCTTGCATGTAATTACATACTTTTCGAAGGAACTCGATGCATCCATTTTCAGGATCGAAGTAAAACCTTTCTACGTCCTAGCCCACGGATAACCTACATACGAAAACTACTCAATTCTACTCAAATAAGGAAGCAACAAATTCTTCCAATACTTTTGTAACCATCTACAGCGTCACATAATATCACAACCAAGAATATTTAATCCTGAATACAATTAAATAACTGTAAAAATTTTAAATCTCGTATTTTTCATCAAGTGTTCTAATTTTCTATATTTAACGGTATATGTAACTTAATGAAAATAAGCAAAATGTACTAAGCTGAAAATTGTGTTGTGTTGTGTGCTCGCGTGTGTGCGTGTATGTTTCCCTTTAGAGATAATTGCTCGATCATTCCATTATATATGGTTCATTTTGCAAGTAGTCTGCAACAAGTATTGGGTATACATTGCTCACAAAGATATTGTTTTTTAAAATGAATTCTATAGAAGTACATGCACCTATTGCAAATGGTGTGCCACAATCAGCTCATTTATCCAGGACAGTGACACGAACGAAGAAAGGTTCTTATTTTTAGTATGTTTCAGATGTAATTAAACTTTGAGGTTATATCCTGGATAAGAACTCAAAACTTGAAAATGTTAGTTAAAAACTATACTTGTGTTGTTAGTTCAGATTGGAAACAATTTCTGTGATAGTTTTGTGCTGACATGTCCTGGAGTAGTGGCATAAAATAGGACATGATCATTTATTTCCCTCTCCGTTCCATTTCATCATTCATTTATGATTATATGTCATTTGACCCCAGATGATATGTACAGTCAGTACAATGTTGTTGAATAATGCACCACTGATTTTATTTATTTTAGTTCCAGAATTACCTCTGCTGGAGAACCGTAACTGGCTGATCCATCTTCACTATTCTAGGAAGGAGTTTGTTATATGTAAAATTTTACTTCAAGAAGAGTTAGAAAAGAGCAATGGAATGTGTGAATATGCGAATTATGTACAGGTAGATAATAAAATTTTTTGTTGGCGGATCTAAGTGTTTATTAAGATCTGTTCAAGAGCAGTTGCATTAAAGTTGTCATCTGAGGTTATGGGTTCAAAGTCTTATCAAGAAATGGATTTTCCTTTATTATGTTGTTATGTCTTTACAGTAGGGCATGGTAATAAAGTTAGAATGGTTTGTGTTGGCGTTAGTAAATGTAAATTAAACCTTAATTCATTGAGAAGTTAGGAGTATTGAATAGGTTAGAATAGTTTTATGCCTATTCTGTTATTTTAAGAAGACTATTGTTTGCATTGTACCAAGTACTGTAATGTAGTAGAAGTTAAACTAATCACTGTCAATCAGTGTTCATGCCATTTGCCTTTTCTTGCAGCTTTTGCAACTTGATTTTTGTCATTTATTGATTTTCATCCATTAATTTTAATCAATTTTCATTATGTTTCTGACATGGGAGCATCTGAAAGCCCTTCCACTGCTGACACAGTATGTGGTTTGAAATTTCTAATATTCATGGGTAGGTATTTATGATTGGTGTAGTGTATTTGAAGAACATTGCTGGAAGCAGTGGCAGTGGAGCCCTGGGTGAGACTGATTAGTGAGGTCACTTAAAAAAAATGCATGTAAGGCAATTTACATGATTTAATTTATTATATCTTTAATGGTGTGAAAACTGCCTCTCTAGAACTGACTCATCCATTATAAGGAGAAAAGGCAATTTCACTTCGTTTAAGTGTGAGGCTTGTGACACCCTGGCCATTGCCCACTTCACCCACCCCCTTTGCCAACACTGACTTAAAGTGTTCCTGCTTCTTTATTTCTCTTTCAGGGTCTTATCTTGAGGCATGAAGGGAAGATTCAGGAATCTCTTGAATATTTTCAGACATGCCATACTCTCAACCCAAGAAATGTAAACAATATCAAAGAAGTGGCCCGCTCTCTGTAAGTAGAAATATTTAAGCATTTAATGGGCACAGAAATCATTGTATTTGTGTGGTTGTCAATTTAATCAGTATGATAACTGCAATGGTAAGGACCATGGCATCTATGTCTGAGACCCATAATATTGTTTTAATGCTTATCTTCTCTTAATTTTCTTTAACTTTTTGTCACAGCAGTAATTTAAGTGTAGTGGTGGAAGTGGAATCCAGACAGTATAAAGCTCATTTGAATTACTCTACTCTGCCAATAGATGGAACATATTGTGAGAATGGTTAATACAGAATTGGGTATGTTTAGGAGATTTTTATTTGTATATATTCACAGATGCTGTCAGTAGGTCAGACTGTAGTATTCAACAATGGGAGATTTAATGAGTATTGAATTGGAAAGGTTATAGAAGAAATTTAAGATACTCCTCATCATTTCTTTGAGATAATGCATATTTGTATTTGTATAATCAAAGTATTTATCTTGGACCCAGTTTCAAATGATAAAGTTGTTATTGTTATAACGTTGTCACTGATTTTATGTTGTGTATGTTTTTCTATCTACACATGTTGCTGGAAATGTGAAAATGCTATATATGTAAAAAGTGTGACTGGCACTTATACCAAATGTTTTGTAAATTCTGACATTGATACATGATCATTAACTTGTTATTCAACCAACCAGTTAATGAACACATGTTCTTAAGTTAAATATCAAAACAAAAAATTAAATAAATTTAAGATTTTTAGCAGTTTATGTTTTAGAGTATCTTCTGGTTTTAGGGTAAGACACTGGACTCTCATTCACAGTCCTAGGTTTTATCCCTCTTCAGATCTGTGTGAGGATTTTTCTGTTCATAAACTGTACCCTTCACCACTATCAAAGAAAAAAGACTTTTGGAAAGTGACGAATATCAGGCTTAACCCACACTATGGTTTGAAGAATACATTAAACTATTGTGTCCCTTTTCTGTCCTCATAATCATCCTACTGTCAAGAGTAACATAAGTACTATATGAGAGCTTCCATTTTAGAAATGGATTACAGATTTTCTTATGGTTGGCAGAGGCCACAAAAGTCACAAAGACCATCCCTTGGGATTATTAAAACCCCCCACCTACCAATTTATAGTTTTTGTTACTTTCCTTTTCTTGCTAAAATTGTTAATGCATCAATGCATCTTCCAGTTATCTCCTTGGACGACATGGATTGGCCATAGAAGCCTACCTGGAAGCAGAGAATGTATCCAACAAACCAGACTGGGATATTTATCACAACTTGGGTATGGATTGAGTTTATGTTTTTACAACATATTGATCATTCAGTAATGGATGGAAATGCTTGAACTTACTGCATCAGACCCCAGAACCAGTGTGGGCATGGTGACTGTGAGAGATATCCATTTCCCTGCTGGGAATTAAACCCCAGTTATTGAGCCCATTGCTTGTCACTTTTCTGACTGAGCTGTGTAGATCCTCTTCTTCCAGCATAATTTTGTGAAGAGTTTAGAGATGACTGGTGTGGATCTTTTTGTACAGTGGTATTGTCTTGTCTGCAGGTACTTGTTTGGTTCATGTCAATGAGCACAGAAAAGCCAAAGAATATTTACTGACTGCCATTCAACTGAGCCATCAAGAGGCCTCTTATGTGGAGCTTGCCAAGATCCATCTTCTTGAAAATGACATTGAAGGAGCAATTGGAATTTATAATGCAGCTTTAGAGTAAGTGCAATAGATGTTATGTCTGTTTTTGGAAATGAAACATTTTGAGCATGGATAGTTTCATCTTCTGTTGCTAGATGTTTTTTCCACTTCTTGTGATTCTTTCAGCATATTAAAAAATTGCCATTAATTTCTTTACCATGTTTTCTGCTAAACATTAGTGTGCTGTTAAAAATGGCTCGCTTAAGCAGTAAGCCAGTGGCAGAGTAGCTGGGAGTGAATACATTAATTGGCACAAAATTATTAATGTTAATTACTTTAATTATGTTTATCAGGTGGTATCCAGACAGCTCTAAGCTGGCAACCTCATTGGGATTGTTATACATGACAACTGGACACCACCAACGTGCATTTGAGAAGCTTGGCTCTGCTCTTGCACATGACCCAATGTGTACCAAGGCCTTATTGGCTGCTGGTTTTGTTATGCAGGTATAGTGAAACATTGAGGTGGATGGAGGGTCTCATAGGTTATTAATGGTGCTAAATTAAATTTGAATATATATGAGTTGAGAGAATAGTTTCATATGTAGACTGTGAAGGGTTGTGGAGGAACCAGTTGTAACTTATTTCAAGTTATACTCCATGTTTATCTGGATGGACGTAGAAAAATAATGAAAAATCAAGCCTTAGTCAGTAGGGAGTCAGTGAATACCCTGAGTGAGACTTGATTCAAGTATCTCTTGAATACAAATAAGAAGCATTACTGCTTGAGCTAAACTTTCATTCTTTGTTTGGCATAGTATTTGTCTTTTAGAAGCAGTCAGCCTCAAAATTTGAAGAACAACAAAAGAACAAATTGCCTGAATTATTATACTCATTATGATTGAGCAAGAGATACTTTCTGAAGATAAAATTAAGTAGTGATGGAACATTTGGGACAATAAAGCAGCAGCAACATGATTGTGTTAAGACTTTTAAATAATTTACATATGAACATTATGGTGTATTGTTTAAATTTTTATGTCTGAAACCAATTTAAATAATCAAATATAATTTTATGTATGAAATAAATCTTATTAATATCAGAATTTAATTATTTGTGATGATAATCACACTTATTGGTATGGGATTGCAGATTTCTTAAGTACACAGAATTAATTTTAAATGTGTTTTGTCCAGCTATGCATCAAATGTTTGATCATGGAATGGCAACACTTTATATTAAACTACACTTGGTTGGTTAGTTGTAGGTTTGTTTGTTTCTTAACATATTTAATTATGTTTCTTTAACTGTGTAGGCTATAGAGTGATTTTAATTTATGATTTTATAAGGCTGTCAGAGGAAGTACCTGCTATAAGGTACTATGCTGGCATTTCCCAAGTTGGTTATTCTGTGGGTTGTAATCAACTACAGACCCTACAGAATATGAAACAGAAGTTATGACTGCCCAACCCTGATGTTCAGTAAAGAAACGTGGTAGACACACCAAAAATATCAGTAATTTTCCTTTGCTTGTAGAATATGTGTACTACCGTGTGATTGTCTCTGGGTTTTTTTTCAGAATTATCAGGATTTTGACATTGCTCTATCCAAGTATAAAATAGCTGCACAGTTCCTACCTGAGTCAATTTCCCTTTGGAACAATATTGGAATGTGTTTCTTTGAAAAGAAGAAATATGTAGCTGTAAGTTACTTAGTTTTTATAACAGAATAGTAGTATAACACTAACATTTAAGTTTTACATAAATTATAGTCAGTATTTAATACATTTGGCAAGTATCACATGGAAATTCTGCTAGGAGATTTCAATACAAAAATTGGGAGGGAGGATATTTTCAAACCCACAATAGGCAATGAGAGTCTGCATGTACTTAGTAATGACAATGGTGTTAGAGCAATAAACTTCACTATGTTGAAGGATTTAATTATAAAGAGTACAAAACTTCAACACTGTGATATTCATAAGTACTTCTCCAGATGGCAGCATACACAATTAGGTAGATCATGTTTTAGTAGATAATAAGAGGCAGACAAGTTTAACTGAATAAGAGAATGTTTGAAAGGTAAAATCATTGAGCTTGAGACAAATAAATAGTAAGGACAAAAATATCACAGATCTGTACAGAGGCATAAATGATTTTAAAAAGGGATATCAACCTCAGACTAATTTGGTAAAGGATGATAATGGCAATTTGCTTGCAGATCCAATCAAAATTTTGAATAGGTGGAAACATTTCTTTAACCAGCTCTTAAATCTACATGGGACTGATGATGTTAGACAGATTACAATACATATGGCTGAACTGTTAGTGCCAGAACCTAGTTTAGATGAAGTTGAATTAGTCATTGGAAAGTTGAAAAGTTATAAATCTCCAGGTATTGATAAAATTCCAGCAGAATTAATTAAAGCAGGTGGCAAAAGGTTGCATTTGAGGATCCATAAGCTTATTCAGTTAATTTGGGATAAGGAAATGATGCCACAACAATGAGCACTTCAGCCACTTCATTCAGTCATGTCCAGGATGGATCTGTGTTTCAGTGTGTGCTGACCCCAACTTCTGTAATAATGCCATCTGTCAGTCTCTGAGAGAGCAACCATAGTTAATATAAATCTGTAACTTTGCTAATAATTTGATTTTACACATTTCTACACTACATTCAGATTGATGTTTTGTAATTGCAGGCTATTAGCTGCCTTAAAAGAGCAAACTACTTATCACCATTAGACTGGAAGACTTTGTATAACCTGGGACTTGTTCACCTGACAACAAAACAGTATGCATCTGCTTTCCATTATCTGTCAGCAGCAATCAACCTGCAGCCAACTTCTGCAAAGACCTACATGTTGCTTGCTTGTATGTATTGAGGGGTATTTCTGTTTACCATGCTACTTCGAGTCGAGTTTTTAAAAACACTTAGCTCGACTCAAACTCTTAAAAATGTTCGAAAAAATCGAGTTTCGACACTTGTGTCGTCATTTCCAGTATCGCGCCTAGGATCCATTTTCTTCGCAATCGATAAAGCGACCATCGACTTTCAGCTCGCAGCGTTTATCGATAGTGCGTAGTGAGCGTCGATCTCTCACTCTGCGTGTATTTCGGTTGGATATATCTGCGCGCAGGAGGCGGGAATGTGTTTGGTGTATCGGCTTATAATGTGCAGTGCGCGTAACCGACGAAAGTTGATTTCAGTCGATATCATATTAGTAGTTATAAAATCAGTCTTTAAATGAAACAAAAATGTACGTAATCGAGAACAATGAATTACTTTGTAGAAATAAGAATTCAAACATGCCTTAAAACTGATTTTATAACCTTTTATTTTTTTTTGACAGTGGCATTGAAGAACCTTGATGATCCTGATAATGCCCATCATGCATTTGAACAGGCAGCAAAGCTTGACCCTAATGACGCAGCTGTGGCTTTGAATTATGGAGTACTTTTGAATTCAGTTGGAGAAAGAGAAAAGGCATCAGCCCAGTTGCGGCAATTTCAGGAACTTGCAGAGAGAGGTTCAGGACTTGACCAAGAGGTATGGAGGAAAGTTAATTAGGTAGTGACCATTGTCATTTAAAGGTGTATTAAAAGTTTACTTCTTTGCATTGCGTTTAGTGAAATTCCATTTCATAGGTAAAGTTCTAATTGAGGACTGAATTTATAATAATATGCTCTCTGGTTAGGGCTGTATCTCAGTAATGGTGATATGTAAGTTAATATAGAGCATTTGTGGATTGATGATGAGAAAAACAAAGTACTTAGAGAAAAGTGAACAAGTTCACTATTCATCACAAATTAAATACATACTGTCCTGGGATTGAACCTGGGTCTCTGATGAGAAACTAGAATCTAGTTATGTGTTCTGTGTCAAGACTGTGTGCCTGTAATAATTTGTTTTCAACATTGACCATTCATAATTGCAGTTAATGTTACTGTTACAGTTTTGTCTGTTTTATAGTATTGTATTGGATTATATTACATTTCCCTGTATCTGTATCTTTTTTTTGAGTTCTGAAACCAAACCATAGAAACTCTACTGTGAAAATTCATTAGTAGATTAAAAAAATGTGTGTTGTTTGCAAATGAAGAACTAATTTACAAAATTGACTCGTTTTGTAAAACTTTCAACCTCAGTTGTCATTTGTAGTTGACTACACATCTTTGGAGATTGAATACGCTTATGAATGCTGGTGGTTTTATTGGATAAAATATCTGGTGCTTAGCATGTCAAGTGCCTGTCATTTGATTTTGGTATATTGTATTTTCAGTTGTTAGAGGCAGCACAAAACTTGAGCTTGAGCTTGACAAAAGTGAATAAAAATTATCTGGAGACAGATGCTAATGAAAAGTGCAAAGAGGATGAGACAAATGATGCTGATAAGGTGAAGAATGATGGTGAAGGTTCAGTGGATACACATGAGATGGATCCTGATGAAGTGTGAAGGTACATTCACATGTTGATATTATCTGTAAACATTGTTATTGGTGCATTTTTTGTTCATTAACCATTCTCCTTGAGGGAATTTACATTCCAGAATATCCTGCTCCAGGTAAAGTATCCACAATCCTGTCATTTAAAATCAACAGATTTCCACATTTCCTTAATCACTGACAAATAAATAAATCTAGTTGACACATATACCAAACAACTGCCTGGACTTTCATCCTGCAGGCAGTGCAAGTAGAAGAAAATTATTGCAACATTCTAGAAGACAGCCATCATCTTGTTGCTGTGAGAACCTGAAATTTCACCAAGAAGATTAATGTTAATGCACTTTGTTTCTGAAGATCATCAGTTGCTTCTCTGACTGATGGCATAGCAGCAGCTTACAAATAACAAAGACCACACTAATTTCTGGTGACCATAACAGTCATACACATGGTTGCATATGTTAAAAGATGGCAAAGCATTTACAGTCTGGTTTTGGTTATATATATGTTATTGAAAATAAATATAAACATAACAAACTGAGGTGATATGGTAAACTAGCCATAGATTTACACTGCATGGTAGTGAAAAGGTTGAATACAATTTGCATTATGAGAACTTAACTAATCTGTGGTTTGTTGTAAGTTAGAGAGTGGTCTCAAACAAGTTTTAGCAGCTGTCACAAAGTAGTAGGACAGTATTATAACTTTCTAGTCATAATTTTATATACATGTTATTTTTTCTCTTTTTCTTTATATTAATTTGATAAAATGTATCTTGTAAAAAGTATCAGTAAAAACTGAAACAACATGTGTCATAAATCAGGTGAAGTGTAGAGATTTAAATAATTTAGTGAATACCACAACATTATCTGTTCTTGAGAAGCTAACAGTTATGCCTCAAGTCAAATATTCCATATTGTATGGAACCTGAGGACTCATTACTGTGACATTAACCATTTGACAAGTATGAACATACCAATATGAATGTAGAAGTACATTTTTCATGTCCTTATAGACTGTGATTGTGCAGCTGATCTTTACTTTGTTTTGAACTGTAAGCTCCTGACATCTGCTGGAGACTAATTACACTAAGATCTCTGTTGGTTTCTTTGTGTCTGTATTGCAAACATAAAGGTGTAAAACATGCTGTTTCTGGGTGAACAGTGTTATTTGGAGGCCTCATCAAATTGTGACTCTTGTGTATAACACAAAATTATTTGATCTTCTGATGGAAAAGTGGCATAAGTTATGTGAATTTATTATGAGAGGAAAGAAACTCATTTTAGCAGTGGTTTCAGATCCTTTAAACATCACACCTCAAAGGGTAAATGCATTCTACACCTGCACCCAATTCCAAATTCCTTTATACATACAGACATCATAATGTAACCTTCAAAATAGATGTTACTATTAGCATCATGGTTAGGGTCACAACCTTTCCCTCTCCATCCTGTAATTTTTGTCCTTTCAGTGTCTTCACAGTGATCATCTTTGGAAACAGGTTTATGGAATTGCAGTTTTATGTCGGACCTCTTCACATTGCCCAACCTGGAAGCCCAGACTTTATATAGTCCGTTCAGGCCAGTGATTGATGGTTCTGTGACTACTACAGCAGTCCTGGTGCAAGTGAGTTCCTGACATTTTTTATTTTTTACATTAACCTGTTATTTGTTGCTCATATTCCCTGACAAGAATTGCAGACCTATCTGTTGATTGTCTTTTGGATATAATCACATAATTTTGAGTCATTGAGAGTTTATAAACATTTTCTTGAATTAATCTTTATCATATGGGAATGGGAGATTTGAATCCCATATTCTGTAAGTCCCTGTAAGGTTTTATCTTCAAGGTTAACAGTTTAGCAATATGCTAGTGAGATGCCAAATGGGTCATGCATAAAGTTTTGCACAAATAATGAAAGTTAATTGGATTTTTTTGCATTCTCAAAGTATTTTGTAATTTTAATTTGACTTTCTGTAGCTGCATTTCTGTCAGAACAATCTTCAGAAAGGACTGTAGGCATTTATTATTGATATTGGTAACTACAGTGAAACCTCTATCCATCGTTCTCCGAACTATCGTTTTCCCGGATGCATCGTCTGTTTTGTTCGGTCCCTGATACGTCCCATATAAAATAATGTTATACTTTCTCGCTTATATCGTTCCTCGAACTGTCGTTTTATCGCAACAATCGTTCAAAAAAATCTCAGCCCTGGCCCACAATTTTCCCGCACTGATCGTTTCTGAGAAATTATAACGAAATTTACGCAATGTTTTTAGAATTTAAAATGATAGTTTTAGAGATAAATTAATATCGAAAGACGCACATGCACGGCTGACACCATCGATGAGTGGTGTGTCGATACCTAAAGGGCGGGGAAACAGGGAGGAGGGGGAGACGACGAATACAAGCCCGAAGCTGTGTCGCATTGGTGAAAAAGTGAATTCGTTCTTTTATGCGCACAATATTTTTTAAGGTGATGAGGAAAACGTTTTGAACATGGAAAGGGCTTTGTTTCGCCTAAAACGTAAAGTTATCCATTAAAGACTTTTTTTAGTAAAAACAAGTAACTTTGAAACAGGTTTTATGTGTATTGTTTTGTGTATGCAAAAGAGAAAAAACTCACAATTTAATTTTTCTCATTTTTAATGCTTTCCCGCAACTGTCGTTTTTCTGTATTCATCGTTTTTATTTCTCTCCCCCGTCAAAAACGATGCATTGAGGTTTCACTGTAGTTTTAAGAAGCAGAGCAGTGATTGTATTTTATTTGTCTTACAGTTGCAATGTTTATTTACATATGTCATAAGAGACGTATTTCTGCTAATAAGAGATAAAGACATAGATATTGTTACTGAGCTAGAATGCTTAGGGGGTTCTGAACTATTAAACTAGCTGAGAAAGCCTGTAGAAGGTTGGAATGTGTAAAACTATACTATGTTCGTTCATGTGGGTTTGAAATTTGGTAGCTTCTTCTGAGGGAGCAACAGTGGCTGTGGGTGTTCAGGATGAGGATGGTGAGGAGAATATTTGATCATGTGATGTGGTATAAGTAGGACTAATTTGGGTTTGGTAGAAATACAAAGAAGAGGCCATGTGGTAAACATAGGTGTGGATTAACTGATAATACTAAAATGCGTCTACCTCAAATAGACTGAAGATCTGAAGTAGCTCGGGATATGGTCAAGTGGAAGACTTTTGTGTTGATAGATTTTGTTTTCATTTGGGCAAGGTCTTTTATAATCGACCGATTAACTATAAACTGCTCAAGGAAGACCTTGCACCGTGAAATAGGCCGAAAGTTTTCAGTGTTTATATTAAGCCTCGGCCTGCTTCCGCTGATATATGGAGGCGATAATTAATTTGTTCCAAGTTGCTGTAAGGGGGCGGCGTTACATGCAACGAGTCTTGCTCTGCCAGATTCTGCCTCGTTTCTTCTCTGCGGATTGATTAATGAGAATCAGGAATTGTCCTGCACAGCTCGGTTCGTTCTCAGGTATTAGTCTGACGTCAGTAATTGCGCGGAGACATGCAACAAGATTTTGTTTCTTAATTGGATGAATACACGATCATTTGCCTGTCTGTTTTACGAGCCAGCCTTAAGCACGTAATGAGGACGATTGTCGAAACTGTTCATTAGTTTCCCTGCTGGAATTACGTCAAATACAGTACTGTGTAGGAAAATTGAAGAAATGGAACACCCACACAACGAAACGTAGTCCGCGAAGGAGGAATACTTTCGCTTGTCTGCAGAATCATGAGCCGAGATAGTTCAATCAATAAAATGGTTCTCCGTCCGCGACGTGGATGACTGGGCTTTGCTTTCCGGCAGTGGAAACGAACTTTTACTCCGTACTGGGTTCGTGTCGGCTCAGGCGGCTGCACGCAGTCTCGTATTCAACGAGCCACGGGGGTTTTATTACAATGTTAAGCCAACCGCAGCTTGAAGCTAAACACTCACCTACATCCACGCCCCGATACGTCTCCACAACGTGGTCATTAGACACAGGGACAATGTTACCTTTATCCTTATCATCGTGTAGGTTACATTAAGCGTGTAGGTTAAAACTTGAAATAATTATGAAGGTTAGAGCGCAGTGTCTTACCCTCTGTCGGGGTTCGAATTTCGTCCGGTAAGTCCATGGCCAGTCATTCAGACTAACATAAATCATCTTTTAACTCATTGCTTAGTGCAGGATGTTTTTGGGAAGTTTATATATTTCTAAATTAGGGCGGGAAATTTCCTGTTTTATGATCACAAGGGTTAATCACCTTGTTCATAAGTTCCCGCAACTGGGTTCTGACATTTGCCTACTAACTCCAGTCAAGAACCTCGTGTCCTATTTAAAATCAGTTTCAATATTATCCTCTCATGTATGCTTACGTCTACTGAATGGTTCGCGTATTGCTGAGTTTATTATCTGTGTGTATTTGAAATTGCGTAGTTTGTTAGAATGACTGATAAATTTTAAAGTTTCTGGTATACACTTGAGTTTTCTTTGAAAGTTATAGCAGTACGAAAGATTTAAAACCGAATGTACGAGCATACACAGAATGTAGAGGGAACGGAGACCGAAATGCCAGAATTTTTACTAGTTTATTTAATTGCTCCAGGGTTTGGGCATCTTCGAACTGAAAACTTGGAGTGATTGTGCCTGGTGAATTAGGAGGGTTGTTGAAGGAATCGGTAGTAGCCTGTTGTTAATGCACTGTCCCAGTACTTGTCCACAGAGACCAGGAAAGCTGTTCAGAGCATAGTCGAAGTTAGTCAGTCCTCTGGCCGGAATTCGAACACGACGCCTTCCAATAGCAAGGCAAATGCTCTTCGTCTTCCGACCAATGATAGATAATTTAAACTACATTTTTAAACTTCAGAGGCTGTGTAACGTCGAGTGAGATGCTATAATGTCTTTGATTGTCAGCAGATGGGGATTTTGAAGGTAGCAGTTGTGGCCTATTTGAGTACACCGTTCTTACATTTAGTTGGAGAACCCGAGTTAATCCACCATGGGTATAACCGTTAACCGGGCCTAGATTCGAATTGGATACTTCTTTGAAAACAAGCCTGAAGCGTTGCTCGCTCCGAAGTGTCGATGCATTGGGGATGGTCTCAGTGATGAATGAGGAAAAGACGTCTTACAAGCCATCGAATGGCTGTCCATCCATTTTCCGACATTAGACGAACCTTTGAAGCTATATATTATCTTACAGCATCAGATTAAATCGAACTGTGAGGATTGCAACTAAATTGCACTACATGTAGTTATTACAAGCTTAGTTGCATAGATCCGAGCCTCAAAAACCTTAAGAACACTTTGCTTTAGAGCTGCGAATTTATTTACCTAGATATTTGAAGCTACATTTGTGTGACATGGTTAAAGAGACCTATTTGTTAATTTAATACATCGATTCTCATATTTTTTATCGAACCTCGCTGTCGAGTGGCTGGAATTCTTGCTTCCTATTCGGGAGGTAATGGGTTATAATCTCGGTGTGTAGATTTCTGAGATCGTGAGTTTCCTTAGTTCCTAGAGAATGGTGGGATAGTATATTAAACCAGGCCACAACTGACTCCATATAGATTCTTTACAGTTAATTAATTTAATAATTTCACCATTCGGCACCATGTAATACGTAAAACGGATCTGAGAAACACAGGGTGTGAAGATGTAGGCTGAATTTAAGTTTCTAGGTATAGGGTAAAGTGATGGGATTCTGTGAATACGATGGTGAACATTCGGATTAATTTGAGACAGGAAATTTTCTCACGGTCTTAGTAACCGTAAAGTGTTAAGGAGCTTTGTAGCTTTGTGTACCGTGGAGTTCATAGCAAAGAGACACTGCTGTGCTCATAAACAGAGATTTCAACTGACAAGGTGCGTTTTAGGTATCGACAGCCCCCCCCTCCCCCGATTAAACGGTGTTTTTGTGTATATATGTGCACTCTTGTAGTGCTTGAATGGTTTTCGTAATATTTACTATTAGTGTGTTTTGTGTTTGCAGCCTACACTGCAGAAAAATACTTTTGTTTAGAGTATTTTTAATTTGGCATATGTTTAATGTCATAAATATATCTAAATATACATGTTTAATCACGGGCCCTAATGTCACATTTAATCAACATTTTTCGTTCGGGTAAGAATAGTTGGATATGGACGAAGTGCGCTCACACGTTGCTAAATGCTTTTAAAATGTATGAAGTAGAGTGTGTTGTGGTTTATTGTGTGGGTGGGAAATGTTGACAGATTTGTTTATTGACGGGCTCGACACAACACAAAAGGTAGAAAAGAAAC